TAGTTTTACTGAGTGTAGGATTTTTTTAATGAAGAAAGTTCATTAAGAACAGACACTCCAAATGGAATACATTAGGATCATTGTGTTGTAAAAACGCCTTACCATCACAGTTTTCCTTCCAGTCGATATGTAGATCAGCTTTGAGCATTGCGTGGTCCTTGGCAACTATCAAACGTTCCACAAACACTTGGCCTAAGTTTTTTTGTATCCATTGAAACTGATAAAACATAAATGGAAACATACGGTATTTCACATGCATGAAATAGAATGACAATGATGGCGCCAGCTTAGGGTAGAGAAGTAGGGGAAGGGTTTGTTCGAGGGGAAAGAGCTTTTCCCTGTCGGGGAGCTCAACATAATTTGTCAAGAAAATAATTATATGCAATTGTTTACAAATTATGAGAAGTTAACTAAACTAGATTAAATTTAGCGTTTAAATCCCTTAATTGTCGGAGTTTCCGGGACTTTTCCCCTCTGGATCCCCTCCGAGGAATTCTGTACCCCACCCACACGATCCCTTCGAGGACGTTCCCACAATCAGATACATTTTTCCTTTAGCACGCCCCGGAAAGACAGTTCCACCACCTCTTCTCCCGTCGACCAAATTATGGCTATGTGTACCCAGTCCATTAATGTAGACTACGGTGTTAGTATTAGCCAATATTATAAATATTCTTTAATCATTAAGGAGTTTTCGCAAGTTTACGAAAACGATAACGAATACGGTTACGTCATCAATTTCTTAGACAACCCGTTCCCTACAGTAGCATATTTGTCAGAACGTAGGAGATTTATGCCTTTTGCACGAATAAAGAATCTTATTCATCTCGTACAGCATATTATTGTCAAGTATGTTTTAGGCACGAATGACGATAACGATAATGACGTATTCGTATTTGTTATCGTTATAAAATAAAGTTGCGAAATCTCCCGATTATTGCAAACCCCGCGGATGTTATTCGGTATGTTGTCGTGAATAGAAGAAAGCAGAGGCAGCAGTCATCTCACCTTTTCATGCAATGCTTTGGGTGAATTCTGATTCGGACAAACATATAAATAGACATCTAATCTGAAAGCAAAAGATCCATGTGCAAAATTTATTCAAAATAAATGCAAGGCGTGAGGCTGCTGGGGCGGATTCAGAATATGGTGTGGTAGGGGTTGCGCGAGAGTCCACACCACCTCAGCCCCACGGTCGGGGCTGAGCTGCGAACACTTTGAGAATATGGTCGGACCTCTCTTAGGTGCCCGGAAAATGCATTTTCATACATTAAAAATCTTACCGTTACTATGTTCCATATAAACAATACAATAGAAACATTTTTGGATACAATTTACAGGTCTGCACCACCACTGCGTCCGCCCCAGGGCTGCTATACAGAAAGGTAATGAAAGTTTGAGCCTTATTTAGTCAGTGCATGGAATGCAAAATGAAATAAGCACAGCAGTACCTTCCTTAGACTAACGAATTTTATTGAAACACAAGTTTTCGCTATCTATAGAAAGGTAAAATAGCACGCATAGGAAAATTTTAAATGGCGGATGCTGGCGACATTTGCCAAACTTGAAGACTAGAGGAAGAAAAAGTACCCCTATCATCCAATTATAATTTGTATTTAAATACCAGAATTATGTTTATAATTATTTGAATATTTTGTATTCAACAATTTTTAATTGTGTTGCCGAGACGTTTACATAGGAGATTTGCTCTACTCCTTCCTCAGTCTAGATTTCTATATATAAATTCATAATTACGTCATGGTAACGTCATAATATGACCGGTGCCAAAAATAGCATGTTGCAGGAAATTAGGGGAAATGGGGTTCTTCTCAAAATGGCCGACAAAGACAGATACTTTCTTCTTGAAATGCAATGCATTTTCAGTAGCTTTTAAAATTACGTTAACATTGTCATTTTCTAGGGCAGAAAACCCTAGCTTTGATGTCAATTTATTCTGAATAAATACCGGTATAGGCCTACAGTACATTTCCCAGGAAGTTATTATGGAAAAGAACTTCCAAACAAAGTGTTGCATTTGAAACGTTATAAGGCTTCATATCGAGATTAAACTTATATCAACATTTCTTCTTTTATTTTTTATAATATTGATGATGATTATAAATGTATATGAAAATGAAGATAATGATGATTATAATGATGATGATAATAATTGTTGATATGTGTTGATGATAGAAACGAAGTAGAGACAATCGTGACGACACGAAGACGAAGATACCGACGACAATGGTGATGACCACGACGATCCATGGCAAAGATGACGGCGACGTACGACAACAATGGATGAGGATGATAAATAATGATGATGATTATGATGATAATTGCTGAAGAAGATGTGATGGTAATTACGTAAACGATAATTAATAACTGAGTTCAAATGATTATGCCAATGATCATGATGAAGATGACGAATCGACTTACTCTTCACTATTTTGCATCTCCTTCAGCGCCTGTATAGCTCCTGTGATTGGTGCCATTTTGACGAAAAAGCCTGACGTCTTTAGAATAGTCTCAACATTATTCTGTGAGGTACAAAAGGAATACATAATAATAATGTAGGCCTACGTAAAATATCCATCTATAACGAGCGTCCATAGGCATAACATTAAATCAGTTGCGGGGTCCAAACCACCCTCGTTTCACCATGGTTTGGGCTAAGGTAAAAATGTTATGGCTGCGGCACATCTATGGCCAGAAGTGGCACTCTCAAACCTAAATTTTAAGGTAAGTTTTTTTTCCAATTTAAAATAATAAATAAATTAATAAAAAAAACAGTTGTGAGTATTGTTTTGCTATTTCTTAAGAACGAACTTAGCATTTTGGCAAAAAAAAAATGTTTCGTTAAGTGGTTATTTCTGAAATGAATAAAACACATTATTTATCGAAACTCATAGACCACATGTGCAGGCCGTATGTTCATTATTAATTCTGTACAAGTCTAATGTATTTTAATATAATATTCGTTACTACTTATACCGGTATATAATAAGCCTACTGGTGGTAATGGTAATGATGATGATGGTGATAATAATAATAATAATAATAATAATAATAATAATAATAATAATGATAACAATAATAATAATAATAATAATAATTTTTTAGGCTTATTATTATTTATTATTATTATTATAATGTCGATATTAATATTGTCAATACATCAATATCAATATTAATAATAATAAATATCATTATTATATTATTTCTAATAATAAAATAGGACAATATTTATAAAAGTAAGTAAATACTGAACACTTTGAGCATTTTAGGCTAAGAAAAACAAGAAAAGAAGCTTGGAAAAACGTACGACAAGATCAGGACGAAGTCGACCGTACTGATGTGCTAATGGGATGCCCTCTCGTTCCTCCACCCTTACGTACGGCTCGTGTGGAAATCGTCGGCGATACTCCTTCAGGAAGTGGGCCTCACTAGCAGCGACACACCCATCGAACGAGACTAAGACCTTCATAGGCGATGTACATCCATAGTTCTTTGAAAAACTCCTGTTAATGTTCAGCAGTAATAGCTTCCCAGTATCCAAGATGGTTTGGGAACGTTGCATTTTTCTACCTGTAAAAGATTTCGATTACTAAATTACTGTTATTGAATAAATAATGAATAATAAGTAATGAGTTGGTAGTAATCTTTAATATTTATTTCACGACCTTAAGTAATTACGTAACCGAGTGGCATGACTACAGCTAATAGGTTTAATTTGACAGCCAGAAAAATTCATTAATGAAGTAAAAATAATTACAAATAATAAACTAGACCCATGTTACGTCATTTGAATTTGTATAAAATCATAGCGAGTCGTGAATTTGTATTTAAAAAAAAAATTATGACTTGATTATAACAATGGTTATTATGTGACGTCATTTGCATGAATTAATTAAAAGAATAGGAATAATCATAGCAGATATTGATTCGTGAATTTGTAAGCAAGGGATGACATATGCCTTAAAAGGTACCGGTAATGTGAATTTGCTTTAAAAAAACATCTGTGCATTGGTGTGTCGGAGGCCATTAGGCTTAAAAGAAGAGTTTCAGAATTAGACGGGGTGATTTTATACGGACGACAAAATAATTGTGTAATACAAACGAAAGTTGAAAGTATATCACGGGCAATGAACACACATTTTCAACCACTGTCTTCAGGTCGAAGCCTCAAGAGCAGCACGCCTTTCAAATGCAGATTTTACAAACTTTATGACAGGTTTGTTGACATTACTATAAAAATGAATGTTTCGACCCTTGATATGTTGAATGTTCTCATTAAATTCAAGTCGGATGACTCTTGCTGACTCATGGTATAGACCTACGGGGCAGCAAATTATAAAATTGAATTCGTCTTAAATTTCACCGTTTCTTCATAGTGACCAGGGGCGGATCGGTCAGTGAATCTTCCTCTCTCAAAAACACCGTGGCACGTTAATACAAACAGAGACAACTGTATATACAGTAGTTGTCTCAGACACACGTACAAACAGTGCTTGTCAGTGGTTGTGTTCGTAAAATTCCATAGGCCATTTACAAATCCCTTCAATTGACAGCCAGGTCTAATTATCATCAATCGAACAAATTGTTGATTGTGCAGGCATGTGCTGGTATCTCTAAATAAACCATTGCATCCCTAATTTAAATAAATACAACAAAACAATAATATGCACAAAAGTATAATCGATATCTATAGGTTTAAACATCCATTCCGCTACCACTACATTGACAATATAAGGTCACAAGAATATTGAGTTGATTATGGAAAATTTTTAAGATGAAAGAGCATGATGAATAATTGCTATATCAGGCATTATACGCATGACTGCGGATCCAGTATCGACCACGTACACACTTGTCATTATGGTGTGGACGAGAGACAGCACAAATATGCTATCTCGAAAGGGGAAATTTTGGAAGGAGGGGATCCACTTTCAAAGAGGTGGTACATGGCTGGACGGAAATACTCCACAGAAAATCGAAAGTACCATAATGACATTTAAAAGACGTCAGACAAGAGCCCCTCTCGCCCTGAATCTCTCAAGATTGAAACTTTCATTGATGGTCTGTATTATTTATGCCTGGAAGATAAAATTAAAACGACAAACAACACATGCACAGGATATAGAATATGTAAGCCTAGAGTGTGCTTTACGTCTATTTAAAGCAAGTCTTTAGAAGTGACGTAATATTGCGCCACCCCTGATTAACAAGCCTGGAATGATGGGATTAGTTAGGAAATTGTATAAAGCTTTGCTCTATAGGTAAGCAGAGCAATTATATGACTTTGAATTGAGGATTAACTTGTAAAATCAGGGAGTTGTTATAGGTAAAATCAATACGTTCAAAGGGAAATTCATAATCACTAGCTTAGAAGAGAATGTTTGCTTTCGATTTGGATCACGGGACCTTTTTTATTGTTTTAGCATGAACTTTTAACTGTAGGTCACAGTCCTCATCCCATTGTCCCATATAATATACCGTAATAGGCCTATTGAAAAATAGGCAAAAATATACAAAAATGTTCTTCGATGCTAGATTGCAATTCATCCTTATGTACCTCGACAGGCTAATTAACATCGACAATATCCGTTTATAAATAGAAGAAGTATTTGTGTGTATCGCATAGAAAAACAGGTCAGAAACTATTGCTATTATAACCACTACTTCTATTCTCAATTATTAAGGGGCACCACTTTCGTGTTACCGAAAGTTCCCCCTTATAGAGGTGTCCCCGAATTTCATGGGTTGGCAATGTGTTAAAACAATATATTTCCCCTCTATTTGAGGCTCGAAAACTGCTATTTAAGGGGTGTCCCCTCAAAAACAACGGGGCCTAAAGGAATGTTCTAGTCTTACTGTTGATATACAAGCAACAACAAACATTTATCTACTTACAGTGCTGTTTATCTGAACCGGGTGTTGAACACTAAAGCCGTAGATCTTTGCAATGGTTATTCAGACGATGATTTACAAGCCGTTTGATTGGTCGATGCTTTGCCGGTTGACACAGAGTAACCTGCAGTACATTGGCAAAAAACCCAGCTCTATTTCAGGTTCAAGCTGGTTCAAGTTGATGGTTTTTATTGTATGCTAATCATTAATACTCTACATAAATGTATAAAGATTATAGACGAAATAGATCACGATGAATTTAACGATCTCTTTCACTTCAGCACTACTGGAGTACGAAACAGCTGATCGACCAAGGCCTATATTTACTTTCAATTGAACCCTGCCCTTGGAATCGTTCAAGTGGAACATTTATAACAAAGCACACGCTTTTAAATCGTGTTGGAATATACCCATACCAGGGAGTTGTGATATAACAACTCCCTGCCCATACCAGCCACATAAACAATAGGTGAATTTAAACGAGTCGTAATTTTTTTTGTTTTTTATTTTTGTTTTTTGTTTGTTTTTTTTTTTTTGGGGGGGGGGGGGGGGGGGGGTTTAAATTTTTTTTAAAAAACAAAAAATATAAAAAAAAAATAATAAAATAAAATAAATAAATAAATAAAATTAATTCCTGGATAGCGGTAAATGAGCTGGCCCGGGCCTCCTTGAATCTGCCACTGAAGTTCTTCAAAATTCAAGGTTTTCCTTCTCTTGAAAACGGTCAGGTAAACTTTCTCATTCTTATTACAGTAGGCCTAAATTAGGCCTATTGTGTGTAGCGGTATACATACAGAAAAAATAAATTGATTAGTTGCATACGCCGTATTCTTTTTTCAATGAATCGATGAACCCCGAAAAGGAAAGGGGGTTCGGGTGTCCCCCCCCCCATGAAAATTTTGATTCCTAAATGGCGGGAAATGAGCTTTCCCGATGACTCTCCCCCTCAGATCCGCCAATGGCTTAACTACAAGCTGGAGGTCTGTCACCCTTTTGCGCAATATATTAATGCCGGTAGCCTACAGGCATACAACAGATTTTTGTCCAAAAAAAAAAAATGATAATATGGACGGAGCTGAAATCGGACTGCATTATTATTGCAGCAAGTAAATCAGTGATTCATCAGGTCATGTGATTCATCACAAGAATACGGCTCAGGGTGTTTCTATAGAAGGATAAATTTGGTTGTTAATCAATTATGAATGCATTCTCCAATGACGTCAATTTAATTTAGATTTACTATAGGCCTAATATAGATTTGTATTTCTCCTATAATTATTAATATTTAAAGTTTAACTTTATTATAACTATTTTTTAAAGTGTTCTAACAATAAATAATCAAATAAGCCCAGTCCTGCACGACTTTATAACATTTACGATGCTTCAATTCAATGAGGCGAATATTTAAGGTGCCTATTAAAAAACAGTGTTTATTAAAGTTATAAAGCCGCTTGCCTACAAGCCGGAGGTCTGTCACCTTTCGCGCAATATACAGTACCTGATTAGCCCAGGGAGCTGTTAATATTCTACAAGGCTACAGTGACGAAGGGGTCGATGCGTAGCAGTCCCCGACGCAATCGGGAAGGGTCCCTGATTCGACCGACCAATCAGCATCACCGAAAGCGATCGGCGAGCGTGCGCGATTGTATGAAAACATCTGGCATCGCTCGAAATCTTTTGGAAGTGATCCACGAGGCGAATCCCAGGGAAACTATGACAATTTGGGAGTTTCATAGGCTTATTTAATCAACTAATATTTATTTAGTCTACTAATATTTGTAAAAAAAATACATATACTGTGATTTTTCTTCTCCACGACGAATTGTTCTTTTTTTCTTCCCGTCCGTAGGTGGGGGGGGGGAGAGGGGGGATCTCTCTCCTTTTCAGCCCACGATTTTTGTTAATTACTGCATATGAAATTTTAAGTAGTCTTGTGTCTTCCATTTTAAGAATGTTCAACCAGTAACTTAGTCTAAAATAATGTCTATAATGTTTTATAACAGGCCTATATATTTTATAGAGTACGGTATATGGCCTAGTGCTAATATGCTTATTGTGGCTTCGCTGAGCGTGACTGCTGTACATTAAGTGTGTATTTACTTTTTTGCGCATGGTGAGACCCATCGACACTGTTTTCAGTGAGACAATTGATAATAAAAGTAGTAAAAACATGCAAACATAATTAAAATTGTAGATGAGGTTTTTTTTTTTCCTTTTTTTTCGGAAGATTCTTGCTCGCTTGCAGGAGTGCGGAAGACCGTTCCGATTTCCGGGAGACTCCCAAAAACTTGTGGGCGACATACCACCCTGAAGTGTCAATCAAACTTACTAAACTGACCAATCAAAACAGAGCTAGGAATACGCGCGTTGTCTCACAAACGCACAAGTTCGCATAATGTTTTAACAGTCATTTTGTGGGACCCTAAAAATAATTTCCAAAGGGGCAAGCTGCACTTAGCAGAAAGGTCCATTTAATTTACATTTACTATACTGTACTATAGCATTGTATTTTTCCTATTATTTATACTTTGATTTTAACTTTACTACAACTGCATTGTTTAAGTGATTTAGATAAAAGTAAATAACCAAAAAAAGCATAGGTCGCATTTTAGATTTAATGAGGCGAGTATTTAAGAGAGGTGCAAATAAAAAAATAGTGGCATGTTATAATGATACCATGTTTTGGACAGAGCCCAACTTCGACTTGAGAAACTGGTTGTTAAAGAGTGTTCTGATGATAGAATATACATTAAGACATGTTGGCAAATATGTACATTTGATAATTGTGTACTACACTTACTCAAAATAGAATATAATCTATAAAAAAAATGGCACTGCAATTAATTGAGAGTGGTTCTTATTAAATAAATGCTTTTACACTACCTATTCAGTAATATTTTTCTGAGGTGGTTATTCAATTATTTACAGTATATCTTTAAAGAACAACAAAAGAAAAGATTAAGTAAACTCCATACCAATATTCATTTTAAATACTTTAATTGTTCAAGCATGAATGCAAAGTTTGAAATCTAATCTACATATATCTTGCGGTCTATCTTCTTTGATGAATGAATTTTCTTAGCCTTCAGGCGTTCCCGGTGATTTCTTTCAACCCTGCAAGAAGAAGAAATAGAGCAAAATAATGCTTGTTACTGATATTATAATTAATGTAATCAAAACATGAAAGTCCTTTAAAATAATTAATTAGAATGTTGAAATGCTCATGTTAGTCTCAAATAAGCTATTTTCAATGAAACACAAATGGAAAGCTAAAACCTTATTAATATTATTTAATTCTATTTTTAAGTCAAAGGTAACAGCTCAATACATACATTACATGCATTAATCTGAATATTACTATTTTTTATTCAACATGTCTATTATATTATCATCATTAACACAAAATATCTAATACATAAAAAAAAATTATACAATATAATATACAGTTATAAAATTATCTGTTTTAAAATACTCCCTTTTTTTCAGAGCTCAACAAAAACAATGTTTAACTATTAATAAAAAATATAAAAATATACATTACATTTTCAAAATATATAAACAAGATAGAACATTTTCAGAAATTACATGCATAAAGGAATCAAATGTATATATATTCTAGATGAGTTATTGCTAATATTTAAGGCAGGTTTTAGCTCCTATCTTAATGTTTGAATTACAGTAACAGATTTGTTATAGGACCAAAGAGTATAGAAAGTAAAGAGAGAGCAATACCGTCACTATGACTGTAAACAAATGATAAGCCCTTAAACGCAGCTATGAGAGGACACCCACTACGTGGGGCTGTCACTTTCACTTACTCAGTAATGTCTAGCAAGCTTTTTTTGTTTATTTGTTTTTTTTATAAGGTACAATTCCTTCGTAGAGGATGATAGTTAAATTAATGTTAACAACTTTGCGGGCACAATTTATAACGACCAATCCATCGTTACTAGAATCACTACGTAGCTAGTGTGTATGATGTTGTTTACGTAGTGCGGTAGAAGGATTCGCAGGTAGATTAGCAGGCAGATTCGCAGATATTATGGCCGTATGTCACGGTTCCCCTGTCTTAACCGCGGCCAACCTACTTGCCTCTTTTTTGTTATAACCCATGGCAGTTTCTCTCCTGCCTCCCTACTCTCGATGTAAATTCTTTAAAAAAATATAAAACTTTTACCTCATCCGTAGTACAGCCTTATCTTTATCTGACGGCTCCTTCGGTTCTCTCGTTACTTCCGCTATTGCATCACGTATCTTTTGTAAACAATCAGCAAAGTTTGTCATTTGTGAACGTGTTCTATCTGAAGTGACGTAAAAATCACCAGCGACTGTTACTTTTGTTTTTTTCTGAAAGAATTTGTACATGGCATTTCATCAGTGGGAAATGTCAAAACAATTAAGGTGATAAGGCAAATTTAATTTAAATACATGTATTCAAAATTATATGTACATACAGAGCAGTGTAAATTAAGTACAGGCTTATACCCAGAAAAACATAGATCACTTTTTAAAACTTGCGAACAAAAAAAATCGGAAAAAAAACTTATTTGACAAACGCCGCCCCTATTTTTCCTTCAGCTAGTGGTGGGCGCTGGAGAGCAAACAAACAATTTTTTTAGGTCTAATTGTAATCATGTTGCTTTTATTATCAAAATCCTACAAGGATGATATTTTTCAAAACTATTACTTGGAAAATCAGAATTTTATTTTCTACAACCATTGTAATACGTTCCTCTGCTGCATAACAAATGATGCAGCTGCGAGACCATTATGTGGGGCTGTCTTACCCATTTTTAAAACAGCACACTTTCATGTGTATGCAGTGGTGGTGATGGGAGTTCAGGTGGGGGAAATTATTCCCCCACTTTTTTCGTCGGGGACAATGGGGCCCCGTCGGGCAAATACTGGCGCCACCACTGGTGTACGTTTAACAGCTATGAAACTTTCTTTAGAGGTAATTTACCTTTTCTAAAAGTTTATCTTGTATATGCTTTGGTAACCAATCTGATTCTGCTACATTGAAACGTACTTCCACTTTACTGTTTACTGTAATAACAATAACAATTACAGGTATGTACATAGTGAATTAAAAAGAAAGTACAACAAAGAGATCTGTGAAGGAACTGAATCACTTAATCATAAAAAAAAACAAAAAAAAAAACAGAGCTGCATTAATGCAGGTCTGTTTGGCAATGGTTATTACAATAATATTATTCAAGAGTCTTGAAATGGGGGGATGGGTGATGGGGAACATGAAGCTGAAGTGAGGGACTCGATGATTAAGGGAGGGGGTGGTAGCTCGCAAAATAAGGCGATATGAGGTGATCTTTTTGAGCGTGATTTTTTTTTGCTTCAAACATTTTCGATTCAGGAAACAACTGGGGTAACATTAGTTTCTTTTTTGGAAGGTGGTGTGTGAACCCTTCAACTGGTGTTTCTTCACACACTTGAAAAAAAAAAAATTAAACTTAAAAACCAAATTTTACAGACTAATCTGTCCATTAACATTTGCAGGTAAGGGACAGTTATACCGACACTGAAATCACCCACCTTTGTTTACATTCTGTCCACCAGGCCCGCTACTCTTGCTGTGTTTCACACATAGTTTATCTGCAAGAGGGGAAAAAAAACAGTGTTAATATATATTTTCAAATGATGTAGCTTCAGCAAACTTTTTCTGGGCAGATGTGTGCTCCTCAAGTTCTCTCAAAACCAATGTTAAACTTTGTCCTCACTATGAAAAATTTTTATGTGACAAATAAATGTGAAATGCCCATATTTGGATGTACTATGATATCATCATGCCCATATATGGGTACATAACACAAAATTAGATAGTTTTACATGAGACAACTTTTGGGACCTGAAAATTTGTGGTGGTTTTCGGGTTTGGTCTCCACAAGGGGGTTAGAAAAAAATTATTAGATTATCACTTCTTTTTTTTTTTAAAGTAATGAGAGCAGTTTTTTTGGGGTTTTTTTTTTTTTTTTTTTTTATCGATGAGGGAGGGAATGTTTTTTTTTTGGCAAGAATATTGTAAATATTGTATAAAAACTGGTTTTAATTAAAAACTGGTTTTAACTTTATTGTTTTTTAAAGAAAATGTATTCCTGTCACAAAATTGCATTTTTTTTATGCTGTTGAAATAAATGATGCGGAAAAAATTTGTTTTTTTATTCCCGCATCAATATTTCCCAAATTTTTGACACGGGTGGGAGTGATAATCTAACGATTTTTTTCTATGAGCCCTAAAGGATTGAAGATTGTTATTTGTTTCTTTGCAAAAGTGGTCTCGAATTAGAGGGGTCTTGGGATAGACCTTTCCAAAGTGTCAATCAAACTGAACATTGATCAATCAGAACAGGACCTTAGCAACAGTATCTAAGGAGCAAAGCTCAGTGGAAAGGTTTATTTGCGGGGTCTCCAATTGGAGGGTGCAATGTACTGTATTTATAAAGCATGTTTGATGTGATATTACACTGTGGATTTGTTTACCTACCTACAGGTATATAACCACTGAACTGTTCCTGTTCATTCTAAATAAAAGATATAAAAAGATATAAACATTTATATATAGAATACAATATTTCATCCTAAATATAAAAAAAAAAGTGATAAACATTTATATATAAAATACAATGTTCATCCTAAATAAAATATATAAAAAGTATTTAAAATTATATTTCATTTATTTAAAAATTAAATTTGTAACCAATAAATGTAAATTTTGTGCAGTCTAGTAGCCTTGATCTTCATCATTAGTATGTGATGAAAAGTCCATAATAAAGAACCATTGCCAAAGGATTTGCAAACAATGATTCAGACATGCATTTATGAAGTTGACTGTCTTGGGTTTGTTTTGTTTGTGTAAATGTAAGTTTGAAACTGATGTACACTAGTTATTTATTTTGGAGTTCTTTTATAAACTCGTCTGTTTTTGTTGTAAAAGAAATTTGAGGTTTAGGGCAATTCTTACCTACGTCATATTGATAGACCTAGTAGTATTATAGTAGTAATATGTCTAGCTAGGCTGACTATTGTAGGCCTAGCTAGACCCATGTCGATTTTTGGCATCAATCTTAATATAGACCTAGGCCTAATAAATTATTACAGTAATTGTTTGTAACACTTAACTAGGCCTAGGCCTACGGTATGTAAAATTATCAATTGAAGCAATTTCGAAAAAAAAACAAACAAAAAAAAACAGGACAGCCTAGCCTAGACACCAAATCTCATGCAAATAGATACCATTTTGGCTTGTTGGCCTAAATGACTTAAATAGAAACTAGCAAAATCTACTACAAACAAGCTAGTCCTAGCCCAGTAAGTAAGGTGACTTCTCGCCAGCACCTCCCCTCCTCCCTTGTTTTAACTTACTTCACCACCTTCCGCAGCGCTGTACCTTACTGCAATATCATCGGTGTTGCTGTTCGGATATAATTTTTCGAGGCTGTACGCACTTTTAAAATGCCTAACTTGAGCATATGAACGAATATTCCGACACATACAAGTCAAAGGATAACGAAGCATTATTAAATGAAACAGTCGTAATAAATATTTGTAGTGTAGTCTACTCTAGGCCTCCCTAGCTAGGCCTGGTCCATAAATAAATGCGCCGACACGCGACGACACGAGCTCTCCACCGAGGATAGCAAAAGGTCACACACAACACATGGGATATCATCAACTTTGAACTTCAACCCTCTTTGCTTCAAAACGTCAGTGTTGCGTTGGTATATTCTAATGAGCAATGTAGTATAAAGGCTAAGCTAAAAAAACAGGAATCGGAATCTTCTGCAATATTTTAAAACTAATCAAAAGGCAAAAAAATTCTATAAAAAAAATTTGTTGTTGATAATCAATACTATCTATATTAATAATCGTACCCATTCTAGACATCAGGTAGCGTGGCCGAGCGGTCTAAGGCGCTGGTTTAAGGCACCAGTCATTTCGATGGCGTGGGTTCGAATCCCACCGCTGCCAATATATTTTTTTTCATCTTGTAAAAATAGTATTGTTCTTTTAATTGTGAGTGAATTCCACAACATCCGTACGTATTTTTTAATTAAAGGTAAATACACCGGGCATTAAAACATTTAATAATATTTTAGGCCACCATTTATTTGTATCTGTATGTCTCACTAAATAAAACTTACCCAATATATGGGGATTTTTTTGAATATAGTTTCTGAAAAGAAATAATCAATAATATTGATTATTTCTTTCATATTATGCCCGAGACGATCTTCTGTGTGTGTCTCTTTGAGTAAGATTTCTACCATATCTTAATCAGAAACTATGAAGTCTGAGACACTATAATACTTAACTGTCTCACAGTAGTGACAAATAATTTTTTTTCCAGCTTTTTCTGTCTTCCATAAGAGATTTCTCAGTTGTGTTCTCAATCCCTGTGTCGATTTAGTGCCAGGTCTTCTTCTCTTCTCCTGTTTGTTGGCTGTGTACATTTCATTTGTTCAATGAACAGTGTCGTAGCCAGCCAGCCAGCAAGCTAAGGTTGTTTGAGACATTGTTCTGGCATCTACTTTGATGTAACGCGGCAGTAACAAATAAAAAAAGTGCTCGAATTGGAACATAAGATGTAATGTACTGTAATGTAATTGGTTGTGACAATGAACGCGCAAGACTGCATGCGACTAGGTTCTACTAAGTGAGTGGTTGGCTGGGTTTTTTGGTGGGTGAAAGAGAATTTTTCCTGCTGAATTCATTCTAGAACGAGTTAACAAAAGCTCTCTATTAACTCAAGCTACTGCATGACCTTCTTTATATATTTAATAAAACCAATTTCTTCTTATTTTAAATACATTTTCCACTGAATTTGTTATCACGCAGACTTGTGCTAAATGCGTGACAAATTTATGATCACGCATGTGTTTCTTCAAAGTGCGTGTTTCATCCAAAATCAATTTGAAATGCGGGACCGTACCGTACGACTATAGTTAAAATTAGAGGCTTTGTGAGACAGTTATGATTTCCGGTGTGTGGCAGTAACGCCGTGGGACTGGGGGCCCTGTGACTTCTGAGACTGGGGGAATTTTGGGTCCCGGTCGTCAATTCCTTTGTGGGATCTTAGATTTGCTTGTTTTGTCATTGTATTCAAAATGTTTTTAAACGACGAATAAATGATATAATATTATCGGCGGATCCAGGAATTTGAAATAGCAGGCTAGCGAGGCTCACATAGGGTAGGACTTTCGCAGATGGAGGCCCTGTACGATCGATCACAGCCCCACCATATTGGGGCTGAGGTAAGACATGATTATGGTGCATCTAGATGGCCGGAAATGACACTCACAGACTCACAATTTTAATATAATTTTCATTTTATCTCCATTTAAAATAGAAAATTGACAAATTTTAGTTGGGGAGGGAGAAGGCGGCAGGCTGGCTTCCCATCCGCCACTGGACATTATATGATATCCTGCATACACACACAGTCGACGTCAGAGAAACATGATGCTGTCAGATGCTGTTATGTACAACCAAAGCCCATTGACTCTGGGTGCTAGATTAAGGACCCAATGGGTAGGGCCCTAGGGGTCGGGGCCCTGCGGACCGCCCCACTACAGCGCATAAGCGTTACGCCACTGATAATTACCTCACTCTCTGACAGTTGGTGGAAGTACCACAGTGGGGAATCCCCAAGAATCAGTGGACGATGATAGGGGGCGCTATTTTCTACTGAAAGAGCGAAGTTACAAAACTTAAGCCTAGTTCATTTATTATGAGTGGTGCTAAGGTTTTATTTACTTATCTTTTGAAAGACTTTTTTTTTTATACTTATAGAGACGACATGGGTGACGTGACGGAGAATGTCGGTTCTAAGCTGTTTACTTACAAGACCCTAGTGCATGCTATTGCTGGTGCGGCTGTAAGTTTTAGCTGTAGAGATGTTGATAAATAACCAATGTTGTGTTTGGCTAGGGAGTTCCCCTAAAGCCCTGCCCGAAGCCAAGTCAACCGCACGCTACCTCGGTCTAGAGGCCCAGTTAGGTCTAGTCTAGGAGGCCTAGTCCCTTTGACCCTGGCATATCCAATTTATACTATTATTTATCAGATGGTTAGAGAGGAAGCAAGTGTAGAACTTGGCACCAACTTTTAGTCACGTATTCCCTTCTTTTGTCAGCACCCTGAGTGCTTTTGACTATAAAATTTAGTATAGCCCTATTAATATATGCTAGCTCTAATTTTTGATATACATAATAATTATTCGCCAGATTTCTGCTTTGTTTTTCATGATATGCTATTTATATTTTAAAAAGTATATTTTATTGAAAAAAGGCTCACAAGCAATTTGGCTGTTGGGCCACTATTTGTGTCCATGTTTTTTTTTTTTATAATATATATGTGAAATGAAAAATAAATAAATCAATATAAATAACTGCACACTTTTGATTTCAGGGAAGTGTGACAGCTATCACTGTTTTCTTTCCCCTAGATACAGCTAGGCTCCGTCTCCAAGGTAATTAATTTTTTTTTATGTTTGAAGATACAATAAAAGAGTAAGATATATGTAGAGCATCATAAATGTTTTACTAAAATTGGCAAGTGATTCAGAGATAATGAGAAACAATGCCAGTGTAGTTAATCTTCAACCAGAATAACTATTGTGATGGTCCGATATGGATTTCAAAATTTTCAAGGGGAACAATACATCTTTAAGCCTAAAAGAAGACAGGATATAAATTATGAGGGATTTTTTAACACATCATTTGTTGATTTAGACTAATATAATCATGTTTTGTTGTCAATTAATTTTTTAGTTGACGACCAGCGACAAGCTAAATCTACTCCTCACATTATTTGTGAAATTTTGAAGCAAGAAGGGTAGTAAGTATACTTTATAATTTACCTTTCAGAAAAAAAGAATTCCTTCAGACTTGCAATAATGTTTTGTGAATGATCTTAATGATGATAACAATAATAATATGTATACATTTGACAGGGTTAGTGGTATACAAAATAATGTATGTTTATGAGTGCAATAGGAAGAATATTTTTATAAGTTGGAAAAATTGTGACCGTTCCATTCAACAAGGTAGAGCTGAGCTGTTAAAATTATTTTACATCCCCTTATTCCCTTAGCACTCTTAACTTTTTAATCATTACCCCACTAGCTTCCTTTCCCCTTACGCCAATACTAAATATGCCACTGCAGGAATAAATACAATGATAGTAATAATAAACATATTTTCCTTCTCAGTACCTCTCTCTACAAAGGCTGGTTCCCAGTGATATCCAGCTTGTGCTGTTCCAATTTTGTATATTTCTATTGCTTCCAAGGACTGCAGGCTAAGTATGTGCAGACACTACCTCAGCACAAAGCCTTCAAAGATCTTATATTTGGAATTATTGCAGGTAAGTCTGTGAACTTGCATACAGTTTTGGTAACACACTCCACTGTCAATCAACACATTCCCCTCTAACCACAAACAAGTCCTAGGCTCAGTGGCCCTGAAAATGTCAAAAAATCGAAAATGGACAGAGACATTGTCCCATACCTCACTAGGGCCATACACAATCCCCAGTGTAGTAGGATCCGTCCTGTAAAATATTTTAATTGCACGATTGATACATTAAAAACTACCTACAATTTGAAAATCACCAGAGAAAAAGGTGCACAAAATCATAACTACTGCATAATACATGGTTTATATATTAGAAGATGGACCAAGGGTTAATTTTCTGCCAAATCTGCATGGAAATCAGCCCTTATATTCCAAAATGCGCAGGCAGATTTCTAGATCTAATATTTGCGCGGAGGATATACTCCCCACACTGTCCATATTTTAAAGTCTGGGTATAAGGCCTAAAGAAAAAGCCTTAGCCATGAGCCTCTTATTTGCGCCACTGCCTACAATACACATTTTTAAACTGTTATGTGTTGTTACAAAAATATATACCTTTTTAGGTATAGAGAGGGTAACCATTAATTTGGATTATTATTTATTTTTCAAGGTGTTTTAAATGTTTTAGTGACGACTCCAATGTGGGTTGTGAATACAAGACTGAAACTGCAAGGTGTTAAGTTCAAGTCAGAGATTTCCAACAAACCTTCCTACTACAAAGGTATCTTAGGTAAGTAAACAAGATGGCTAGTGATCTCCCTCTAATTAAAAACCACCTCCAATTAAAGACTGCTTTTCTGTGGTGCCATGGTAACAAATGTATTTGGAGACCAAAGCTGCTAAAAAACATGGAAACCCGGGTCCCAAAAGTGGTCTTTAATTTCAGATAGACGTGTATACCAAAAGTTGGGGTTGTGGCCAGGAAGATTATTATCAAAGATAAATATTACTATTCTTTTTTTTTTAAATCATTATTTTTTCCATATTATTATGTTATGAATGTGTGTTTAAATAATGCATTTGGTTTTTATAAAGAGCTTAGGTAAATTGGATGAACCATTCATTTTTGTACTCTCTGATAAAAATGCTATGATAAACCTAGAAGAATATTTAATTCAAAGATTATATATATTTGAAGAACATTATTAAGTTTTGATGTGTGTTTGCGTTTGATGTCCACCCGAATCAATGCAAAATTTATTCTTAAGCTTTTGGGAACGTACCGGCACTGATTACTCGGTACGATAACACGTCAAGTGGGGCAAAACATCACTCTTATAACATTATTGAGCATTTGATCCATAATTTCAGATGCGTTTAAGAAGATTATCAAAGATGAAGGATTTTGGTCTCTTTGGAATGGAACCATGTCATCTTTAATGTTAGTGGGTAACCCTGCAATTCAGTTCATGGTTTACCAGACACTGAAACGATGGCGACAGGGGGCGTCTCACTCTATGGTATGAGATTTCTGATTGATTTTTCAAGTCAAGAATGATGTTGTTATGTACAGAACAGTGCGCCTTCCAATTCAAGACCCCTCTAATTCCGAGACCCCTCTCATTCGTGACCACTCTTTCAAAGAACAAAATGACAATCATCAATTTTTTAACACACAACTAAACCTCTAAGTATAGACCGAACACCAAGACCACCCCAAATTTTTAGGTCCCAAAGTGGGTTTCAATTGGTGGGCAAATTGTACATTGATAACTCTGTAAATTTAAAACTGTAAATCATTACTTTTATCACTCCATAGCTTACTCAGAGTCATCTAACAAATCAGTATATCAATAAGCCATCTAATAGTTTAAAGTGCTCCCATCTGTGTCAAAGGCCAAGACATATAAACAATCATACAGCATACTGTTGTCTGCTTTTTATAGTTTATAGTATATATTTTCCGAATACTGCAACAATATTCATTAACATTTTATTATTAAGAAGCAGACCATACTATATGCCATGATTTTTTTTAAATTCAGTGGTCTTGCAAAACACTGTACTGCCTAGCTCACTATAAATTTTTGCCATGTGAGACATTAAATTTCTCACTACCTAGCTGGCTAAGAAAAATATCAGCATCAGAATAATTCTAAACTTCTTTAACACATAAAGTGTTTTTTTTTTCTTACATTAGGAATTAGGAAATGTAACTTATTTTTTAATTGGTGCAGTGGCTAAAGCTGTGGCGACAGTATTAACATACCCACTACAAGTGGTACAGAGTAAACAAAGGGTAAGTTATGGTACTAATTCCATACTTATTGCTCTGTGGTTTGGCAATATTGGGAATGCAATTTACCTATCACGCAAATGGTTCAGTCCAAATCAGTCAATTCATAATGATGATAATTATATCATATTGTACATTATAACACAGAATAAGTAAAGAAGTAGATTAATTAAGTTGACATGTTCATATCACCTCCCCACTTAACAACTCCCCATTTTATGTCCAAGTTTGTTACTTAACAGATATGGAAAAGGGGTTCAGAAGATGGAGCCAACCCATCTCCCCTTAAATTTTTGAAATGGTAAATGGAAATGAATTTGCATTCGAATTTGAGTTCGAATTTGAAATGCAATTTGTAGCCATCTAAAAGTGCCATTGACATATAAATTTTGCACCTCAGCCCCAATACCCCATATGTAAAATTTCATCCCTAGTCCCCCTCAATTTTAAATTCCTGAAACTGTCACTACTGAAATAAATTACAAAATGGTGGCCAAAGTTTAGCCTTTAATTGGTTTTCTTTTGTTTTATATTTCAGTTTAGTAACCAGGGCAACAAGAAAGATGTACCAACCAAGACGGTTGACCTCCTTAAACATATAATAAGGTGTTGTTGTTATTATTATTATTAGTATTGTGTAGCAGTACTATTATTGGTATTAGTTGCTGGTATTGCTATAGACTGATTTTGTCTTAATGAAAACTATTAAAAATAAATCGATTTTGTGCACGAATGCTGTTCCATGTTACTTCTTTGCACCAATAGCGTTCAATACTTTACTCTTTCTGGGTTTAGGAAAACCTAAAATGTAATTTAGAAATCCAAATTCAACAACATAAAAAGTTTCTCGACATAAACAAATGCTGGTGGAGCTCTCCAACAGTATCTACTAGGAAAAATCAATAAATTAGAGGCTAAGTCCTTGATCTGATCGCTATTATTGTTGTTATTATCAAACTAATCAGTTGTTTTATTAATCTATCAATGTCTCTTTTAGAACTCATGGTTTCCGACATCTCTACAAAGGACTGGAGACCAAACTCATTCAGACCGTGCTGACAGCAGCCCTGATGTTTCTCACATATGAGAGAATAGCTGCAACTGTGTTTAGAATAATGAGGCTTGAAAATGCTTTGAAGAAAACAGAATAAAGGAAGATTATAGGCACAAAGGAGGGGCGAGATAGTATAGAATTGCAAGATATCCAACTCTGTCCTCATTTTGTATGCAGGCAATGAAACGTTAGAAAACACACACAAAAAAAAAAGTACTACCAGGAGATAGGGGGCGCCATATTAAAATTCGAATGGAGCTCGAAACTCGAAGGACACGCCTCTTCGCGGTAGTACTTTTTGCAATTATGATTACGTTCCAACGAAACTACGAGAGTCGGACCAGTTCTATACTCTTTGATAAAAGACTTGATTATAGAGCATCGATGTTAAAATGACCATTTAATAACAGAATTACTAGACAGGCCTTTTAGGTCATTAAATATGATAAAAATCGGAAAAGAACATTGATACTACTGTATACTAGAAAGTATAATACATACTATATATATTGAAAAACACGCCATCGTGTACTATACGAATTATAATAAATTAATTAATATCGCTATATTAATATTATTATTTTTTCCAAGGCTAATAACTTGGAGGTAAACCATGGACCAGAATGTCAATCAAACTTAACAAAATGACCAATCAGAAAAGGCCAGGAATGTGCGCATATCCTATAAACGCATGTGTTGTCTTTGTCCCGCAAACGCAACTGTGTGCGTATGTTTCTACACTGTCGTTTTGTGTAGTAACTTATCAACAAATATCCATGGGGCGCAGGACTTAGTTGAAAGATCCATTGGAATACCGTAAAACCACGAATAGAAGCCCTGGGCTTCTTTTTTCTGCGAGCTTTGGATAGGCTTCTTTTCGAGATGGGCTAATTTTGCAAAGTAAAGAGGGAAGCTTATTTCAAAATGAATGCTGTATATTTTTGGAATTACTACTACTGTACTATAAAAAAACAAATAGGGTAACATCAGTCTGTGTCATGGAGTGTATTAACCGGCATTAAATCACTTAAACTACCGTGTAAACGAAGCGTGTTTTTAATTTATTTTGTTTCATTGAAATTCATGTACAGTGTAGGCCATGCGTTTCTTTTCGAGATGGGCTTAAGCTTCTTTTCGAGGCTACTTTTGCAAATTAACAGAGGGGGGATAGTCAATTGGAGATGAGCTTCTTCTCGAGATTAAGCCTATTTGTGCTTCTATTCGAGGTTTTAAGGTATTCTTCAAACTTGCGCGTCCCTCCCCCATCCCCGTCGTGGAGAATAACTTAGTCATGTGCTTACTGAGATACAACATGTGCTGTTGCGATATCACTGGACACTGGTCCGGCCCTGGGCCGGGAAAATAATTATTCTTATACTAAACAATATGAAAAATAAAGGTCGATAATATCGAACGTTACTTACAGACTTTCCACTGAGAATATGATTCGGTTGTTCTGCTGATTGAAATCATGAGTTTCGATCTGTGGTGAAGTATTTTCCATAGGGTCTCAATGGCTTGTATTTTCTAATAATGTCGAATAGTTTGTGTCATGCGTTATTATCTGAGTGACTTCAAGTCATTATGTGAGCTGTAACCGGTGTTAGTGATCTTCGTCTATTTTTTTAAAAATTTGTTATATAGTATTTTTATTGCAAAATGTGATTCCGTCATCATACTCAGCGCCTGACAGTCGCCGGCCAACACGATCCTATAAATAACGCAACCGCCACACGACGCGGGCGCAACGGATCGTATTTTATGACGATTCGTTCAGACTGCCACCGACAATCAGCAGACGGCGTCGCGTCGTCTGACGGCGCTCAAAGTGAGCGGAGTTGGATTCGTCAACCGACCGACGGTCGGACGACAGCGAGTCACTGCTCAGCTTAAGACACCAGTACCAAGGGTTTAGCTAAGAAGTGACTACACCGGTGTGTTTTATGTTATTTTTTTTTCTCCTTTGATTTCCCTCTACTCTCAACCGGATCGCTTTTTAATTTTCTCATAAGCTGGAGGTATAATGTATATTAATCCATTACTCGCATTTTCATTATTTTATAAATTTATTACAGTAAATAACAAATATTATAATCAGTAAGCCTATATTTTGGACTATCTTAGAAATGTGGATCTCTCCCGATTAGGGAGGATGCCTACGCAACCCATCGTCCCCTTGATGGCACTTGCAGCATTGAATAAAAATTGAAGAAATATTTAAAAACACATAATCATTTTGATGACAATTGTTATTATAATCCTGGATTTCACCGTTTGCATTAAATCGGAGGCACGTGGTAACAGAATCCCAAAAGAAAAAAACAAGAAAGGAAATAGAAATTTGCAGGACGACATTAGTGTACTATCACCTCGTTCTTTTAGGCTTATATTATGAAATAAAAACACTGTACTACATTGATACCATTTGCCAATTTATTTATCATTATAAACTTATATTATTGGTATAACTATTAATGGATGTGAAGTCAGAAATAGAAAAATACAATGAAATGAATTGCCAATTTAGTCCAAACTGTCAAATAATAACATGGCCTCTAAAAAACAAAATAAAAAATCCTTTAATATAACTTAATACCATTTTTTTTAGATTAATAATAATTAATTGTGTATTTTGTAATAAACAGAACTCGTTAAATGATTTGAATAATATGATTGTAGCATAAAATAAGTAGACAAAAAAGATATAATTCTTTTTTATTCCAGCGATCGCACTTCATCTCCCAAAAACGTTACTAATAACCACATGGTTTCATTTCACAAACGTACGAAATCACTGTGTCATCGCAGTATGCATTCACTGTATCAGTCGTCATGTCAACAACAACACAGTTCATGGCGGCTGTATCAAGATTTCCTATGTTCAGATATACGCCATTTCCATCGCTATCAAAAATGTTAGTTCCATCAGTGGACCAATCCAGATAGTATAGAGATGACCAAGGAACTAGATTCAAAAGTAACGACTTTGTAACATTGTAGTTTTCATCTGTCACGGGGAAAAATGTTGAAACCCTTGTATCATCAGAGAACTTCGCGCATGGTTCAGTGCCTGGAATATTAAACAAATCTGTCTGCCCTACGTATACTTTGATGCATCGGTTTCCAGGTATGGCGTACCAAGTAGATGGACAGCTACTGTCACAAACCACAATCAGAAGCAGGAGCATTATGGATTTGACCTTCTATAAGAACAACAAAACACCAAAATATAATTGTGTCTGATATGATATCCCGCATCTCGTTAGTTGGTGTGGAGTTAAATAAAATGCTTGCCTTCCAATCCCAGGGTCGTGGGTTCAATTCTAGTCACGGTAATAGCATTTTTCTCACGACCAAAAGAACTCCACTCCAGTGGAGGCTCTAGGATATATTTTCTGGGGGCTACGTTGTCCGACAGGGACAGGTGCGACAGGCTCGAGCTGGGGGAAGGGGTTGAGAGGGGGGGTCCCCCTCTCAAATGAGAATATCGAAAATGGCACTCTCAGATTGTGACAGACATGTGTTGGCTTGGTGTGGACCTATTTTTATGTTTTATCGTCTTACTGCCCGACGAGCTCTGTCCGGCGGGGGCGTGACCTGTCCGGTGGGGGGACTTAAGCCCCCTGCACCCCTTTGCTGGCGCCGCCACTGCTCCACTCCCTAATACCCGATTCACACGTACAAAAGTCTTACCAAATGTAACAAAATGTAACCAAAACTAACATTTTACGGCACGTGTGAAAGTACCTCCGTGTAATATCCTTGTAAAATCTCGGAACGTCTCGGTAATCTTTACCAGCCTCGGTGAGGCTGGTAAAGCTTCCGAGATGTAACATGGATGGATCTGCGCATGCGCAGGGATTTCAACACAACAACAATATACTGTTTCACGGGGTTCTTTGAATTTTCTTCCTTCTGTATACGATTCTGATCCACTAGAAATAGATAGGCCTAGTTTTTCTAAATGATGAATGAATTACCCTTGTTATTGATGTTAATTAGTAATGGTAGAAGAAGAAGATATACATAAAATGAACGTCGGGATGGTGTTAGTACTATTACTAGTATTACAAGAGTCCGAGACAGAAACGTTGGAAGCTCTGCCTAGTTTAGTAGTAGTAGTACAGCAGTTGTTAAGGGTATTGATTGCTTCGAATGTTTACTGTGATGGTGAGTTCAACAGTCCATCTGTGACAGGGGTTCTCAACTAGGCCTAGGCTAGACCTATATCGCAGTAGGGAAAAATGGTTCATTGAATAAACACTGAATATATTTTACACAACCTTGGCATTACCTTACAGACGCGTGTGAATGCTTTTTATCTCGGTAGGAATAACTCGGGAGATCGCTCGGTTACAATTTGTTACTTTTTGTTAAATTTAACTTCACGTGTGAATCGGTAATAAGAGTTTTTTTTAGATTAATAATAATTAATTGTGTATTTTGTAATAAACAGAACTCGTTAAATGATTTGAATAATATGATTGTAGCATAAAATAAGTAGACAAAAAAGATATAATTCTTTTTTATTCCAGCGATCGCACTTCATCTCCCAAAAACGTTACTAATAACCACATGGTTTCATTTCACAAACGTACGAAATCACTGTGTCATCGCAGTATGCATTCACTGTATCAGTCGTCATGTCAACAACAACACAGTTCATGGCGGCTGTATCAAGATTTCCTATGTTCAGATATACGCCATTTCCATCGCTATCAAAAATGTTAGTTCCATCAGTGGACCAATCCAGATAGTATAGAGATGACCAAGGAACTAGATTCAAAAGTAACGACTTTGTAACATTGTAGTTTTCATCTGTCACGGGGAAAAATGTTGAAACCCTTGTATCATCAGAGAACTTCGCGCATGGTTCAGTGCCTGGAATATTAAACAAATCTGTCTGCCCTACGTATACTTTGATGCATCGGTTTCCAGGTATGGCGTACCAAGTAGATGGACAGCTACTGTCACAAACCACAATCAGAAGCAGGAGCATTATGGATTTGACCTTCTATAAGAACAACAAAACACCAAAATATAATTGTGTCTGATATGATATCCCGCATCTCGTTAGTTGGTGTGGAGTTAAATAAAATGCTTGCCTTCCAATCCCAGGGTCGTGGGTTCAATTCCAGTCACGGTAATAGCATTTTTCTCACGACCAAAAGAACTCCACTCCAGTGGAGGCTCTAGGATATATTTTCTGGGGGCTACGTTGTCCGACAGGCTCGAGCTGGGGGAAGGGGTTGAGAGGGGCATCCCCCTCCCAAATGAGAATATCGAAAATGGCACTCTCAGACTGTGACAGACATGTGTTGGCTTGGTATGGGCCTATTTTTATGTTTTATCGTCTTACTGCCCGACGAGCTCTGTCCGGCGGGGGCTTGACCTGTCCGGTGGGGGGACTTAAGCCCCCTGCACCCCCTTGCTGGCGCCGCCACTGCTCCACTCCCTAAGCCTCATAATTGTATGTAGAGCTATGGGAAGAGATATGCCGCTTTGTGAGTAAGATCACTGCTTGGCATATCCTTGGACCTAAAACCAGTTTATACCGATGTGTGTTTGCAATCTACATCGGCAGAATTTTTCTGCGAACTCAAGTAATTACCTACCTCCACTACATAGTTTAGGCCAATAAAAAAATTAGTTTATCACCCTCTCCCTCATCACTTTTGGGGAAATTCAGATTTTTTTTTTCAATCAACATACTGTATATTTTTATTTCAAACGGTCGTTTTTCCATATTTCTTTCACTTGAAAAGCTCAGGATTTCTTGCAAATATGTTTACTGGTAGAACAAAAACATATTTTTTAAAATATAAATTTGATTCCTTTCTTATTACTTTTTATATATGTGTCCATAACCATTGATTTACTTGTGAACATCGGTAAAATGGGGGTGGGGTTAGCAAAAATAATAATTAAAAAAACCTCCCTTCCTCATCGTTTTTATTCTCTGATAGGGTGATAAACTTATAATTTTTTTATGGGGCCTTACTATTCACCGCTGTTTGTTTGTTAGCAAGGTTTATACAAAATCTAAGGAATGGATCACCATAAAACTTAGTGGAATGATACATAATTATTTAAGAAAAAGATTATTAAATTTTGGAAAGTATAGGTCAAAGGACAAGGTCGATATTTTACCCTCGAGCATAAAAGAATAAAACGCCCACACACGGACCAATTGCCACTCCTGAGCACCCCAGCTTGCGAAATCGTTAGAAAAAAAATATAATAAAAATTAATAGAGGTAGGACATGATAGGAAAAACGGTTTCTTCCCTTCGGACAGGGGACCTGGAGCTTTGTGAGTGTTTTGTAATAAATACTACCTAAAGAAGGCCTATCTAAATAATTTAAAGTATCTTAATTTAGGCATACTTACGTTTTCCATGGTGGCGCGATAAAGTATCGGTATACAATCGTCGATTATAATGTCTAATAATATCCGTCGTTGAAGTGTCCTCAAAATTAATCTGAGAATTGGTTTATAGTCATCGCTACCCAATCATGCATATGTGATTAATTTATGAATAGACTGGACAAATAAATTGATTTTAAAGGGTCTCGCAATCGCATTTTATTGAACAGTATTAACTTTTATTCAGTGTCCGACACAGGCAAATGAGTAAAAATAATAGTGTAGTCAGGCCCAGACAGTCTTTAGCCCTGGTATTGAAACTATCTGTCTCTTGATCCAAAATCAGATTGCCAAAATTGCACCTTTATTGTGTCTTGCATTTTAGTGACAATAACAGTATTAACTTTTATTACGCATACAACACAGGCAAGTGGGTAATAATAATAGCTACAGTAGTATCTTATAGCGCATCATGCCAACGATCTCTGACCCATGAAGTTTGCCAAATATTTTGTAGTCACAGGACACTTTGTAAGATAATACATTTTTTTTTACTCCATGCTTAAGTCAATTAAAGTTATCTGATAGCATCTCCCATTTTAGTGAAAATGCAGGTGTTAACTTTCATTTGATGCTCGACACAGACAAGTGGTGAATAATAATTTGAGACCCTCGATTATTTCGAGCCCTTAACCATTTAGGCATTTTTAATCGAAATATAAACTGTTTCCATCCTTAGAGGGATCACCAAGTAGCTGCCATATGAGAAAGATACCAAGGCAACTATCACGGTTTTCCGTGCTAACTGTGAAATTATATGACTTGTTGAATGCATATATAAATATATATTTAAATACATATCCTATATTCCTTGTGGATTTTTCATATTTTCTTTAGGGGTACAGTACTGCCTATTATTTTTTTTTTAAATTAAAATGAATGGTGTGATTCCTTTTAGACATACATTACATAGATTTAGTATAAACAGTATTAAGTGGCCACAATTTTTGTATGGTAAAAGGGGTAATTTGTAATGCTAATGTCCTAGATATACTGTAATTGTCTCAAAAACCGATTAATGGATCTGAATGAAATTTGCTAGAATGGTTTGTCATGTTTCAAGAAAGAAAATGTTAACTTTAAGTGACGATCTGCAGTAGAGTGTGAATATGCGGACGTCCCAGACCAGATATCTCAAAAACCGGTCAACTCATCTGAATGAAACTTTCTAGAAGAATTAACCAAGTTACAAGGAAGAACGATTAAATTTTAGCGACGATCCAGATTTGGGTATCAATTTGGGGGTTATTTAAAATACAAACGTCCCAGAGCTAAAAATCCCAAAAATGATCAAAGTACAGTATGCGATTTTGGTGACGTTATGGAGTAGGGTGTGCATGCGGACCTGTAAAATGGAATCTCCGTGACCTAGATATCTTATTAACTGTCAATAGATCTGAATAGAACTTTCTTGAATGGTTTATCATGGTCCAAGGAATAATGATTGAAGGCTCTCAATGGCTACGGGATCGCAAATAACCAAAAACATATTGTTTAGTTAGTTATGACGACGTTCGCTTTGATGGTTGAGCTTCTATTTTATTATTCTCTCTTTATTATTTTTTTATTTCAAAAGGAAACGATGTGTGTGAATTTTATACAGGGGGAATTATAATATGAGCGGAGGTATACGCTCTAGAATTGTGCTTTAGTTTAGTCCACTCTAAAGAATTAATATACGATGTAATGGTTTCTTCAATTTATTTATCATCCTTTCTTGTTAAATTCAAAACAAAATAAAACCCACAACGAGGATAAAAAAAAAAATGAATTCGCAAAACAAAAGCGGGTGCGATTGTCAACAGACCTTTTTTTTTTTTATTCTTTCTTATCTAGCAATATATGCTTTGAATTCAAAACCGTTTGACCTAATCTCTAAAACGTAATCCAAATTTGAGTCTCTAAACTTTCATACATAACATGTGTTCATATTTAAAAATAATTTAATATGCTATCTGATAGAAGTGATTTGGGCATACAAACATTATCATTGTGTGGATAATGTAATAAACGTACATTTTTGTACAATATTGTACGCTCCCATATCTGCGTGATTACAGTTACCATTTTATATAAACAGAATTAAACAAACACAGTATAAAAAAATAATCCTATAAGTTTCCTACTTATATTGGACTGTAAATACAGCGTAAATAAGACGAACTAAAGGATAACGTAATCAACCAATCATAATAATCTGCATAGATAGGCATAATTAATAGCATTATGATTTTCTTTAAAGGTATTCAAGGTTTCATACATGATAATTCCTATTTATTCAGCATCAACAATGGTTCGTAACAGTGCAAAACATCAAAGGCGCTATGAGAGAGGGAGAGAGAAACAAAAAAGAAGGATGCAGAATATAGACGAAAAGAAGTGCTACAAATGGCCCAAACATGATGATGAATTGTGGGTATCAGAAAAAGATATTTTAGCATACGTTGATGAGCCAGCACCAACAGCAGAATGTTAGTTTAAACTAACAGACAAAGATGTGTTCAAGCCATCGTACACTTCTAATTTAAATAACCTTTTTTTTATAATATTTGTTTAACGAAGAATGACCAGTCGAATACGGCCATTGTCATAAATGGTCAGCAACATCTACAATGTGATATTCGTTTTTGAAAAAGTACTAATAGTGGTGTTGACAACTTTTGCCATTGTCATAAATGGTCAGCAACATCTACAATGTGATATTCGTTTTTGAAAAAGTACTAATAGTGGTGTTGACAACTTTTGTAAATTTGTAATAAGGGGAATGTTGACTTTCAAAAAATAACAAAAGCAAAGAAATTGGAAACACTTTAATTTTTATGTCAATGAAATTTAATTGGCACCATTTTCAGTAGAATTGCCCATACCATTTTGTATCGCATAGAATTGGAGAAATCAAGAGAGTAACGCGTTCATCACAGTGGAAACATATTCCTCCTGGAGAACTGAACGTAGCAGACGATGTCTAACTGAACTCTCTGTTGAGAAACTTTCTGAACGATCGCAAAATGGACCTGAGTTTTTACATTCTCCTGAAGCAGACCTGCCAAAATAAGCTGCAGTGGGTTGCCAACCAGACGTGCAAATAGAAAAACGTGAAGTGAGAGATGTATTTTTGGCCCAATTCCAGATGAAAATGTTAGATTGCACAAAATTCTCATCCTAGAGAAGACTGGTCTGAGTGACAGGATTAATATGTATTAAGATTTGCCATACGAGGCATTGCAGGTACATCTTGTTATTGTCTTATTAATTTTATTTTTATATTTAAACTTTTCTGCGATTATGCTGAGATTTAAGATTAACGTAATTGAGATGATTATGATTATACATTGAACAGTGTAATTCATTGAAGATTGATAGAGTTCAAAGTGCATGTAGTTGATATGTTAATTTATCAGAAATTAATGATTTTATCCTGATGTTTTATCGAAGATGATGTGAGTTGAGGTCAGATTTGATATGTTTCAAATCATGAGATGTATACCATGCGATGTAACCGGGAATTGGGTTAAGAGGGTATACTTTTGTATGCAAGAAATTTATCATTGTTGGCTTATAACCAATTTTTGCTATGCGACTCTGGATTGAGTATTGAATGTTAAGCATCCCTATGCTTATTGATGATTTGTTGACAAATATTGTTTAATTTATTTTTATTATTTTGGTAACGTTATATTTCTCTGATTGTTGTTTCAGGGGTTTTATGTTTTCTTATAAATTGTTGTTGACCAATAAAACGTTTAAATCACGTATATGGTACAGTCTAAGTTCACTCCTTTGACGTCTTGTGACCCACGACAATATTAACTGATACACTGGAGAAACTTGCAAGTGAGGAAGCTACGAAGAAGACTGATGAAGCCAAGCAGAAAAAAATGCAAAGGGAAAATACAAAACACCAAGGGAGTCTGTATAGGCCTATCAAGGCTAAGCCTGTCTCTTATACACATCTAGATGTGTATAAGAGACAGGTATTCAAGGTTTCATACATGATAATTCCTATTTATTCAGCATCAACAATGGTTCGTAACAGTGCAAAACATCAAAGGCGCTATGAGAGAGGGAGAGAGAAACAAAAAAGAAGGATGCAGAATATAGACGAAAAGAAGTGCTACAAATGGCCCAAACATGATGATGAATTGTGGGTATCAGAAAAAGATATTTTAGCATACGTTGATGAGCCAGCACCAACAGCAGAATGTTTGTTTAAACGAACAGACAAAGATGTGTTCAAGCCATCGTAGAACACTTCTAATTTAAATAACCTTTTTTTATAATGATATTTGTTTAGACAAACCTCAATTGGTAATTAAATTAATTAAATTTACAATGATGAATAGTATTAGAAGTAGTAACCATGTATAAAGTTTTTCATAACCTGGTTCCATCATATTTGACTGAGTGCTTCTCAATAATTTTAAACTAAAATTACATCACCAGATAAAATAAAAGTAATGTAATTTTCCCCCCACCCCATTTTTTTTTTTGTGTGATGTTTGTGTGTGTTGCTGAATTTGGGATTACAGTGATCTGGTTCACTTTAGTTGACCTTGGTTTCCCCAGGCTTCGAGGGATTTTTTTTGCCACTTTCATTTTAGTACATTATGTTGTTAAAAAGACCAAATAAATAATGAAATGAAATATATGAAATGAAAGATGATCGTCCACACACTGAATATAAACTCCCAAAACACTGCTTTTTTCCAAGGAAGTATAGAATAACTCCTTTGTAGTTAAAATAACTCATTAAAAACAACAGTGTAGGATTTGCCTAACTAAACTCTTTTGCATCATCTATTATTCTTTTACAACTGTCATTTTTCTTGATATCTACGATGTATACATGGCCAACATTAATTAATTTCATTATAATATTCTATTTTTAGGTTCCCACTGATGATGAGAAAGGTATTCTTGAAACATGTATGCTTCATGATTGGGCTCGCTATCAAGTTCAAGATTAAAGACAGTTTGTTGTATAATTAAATGTCTTGTGGTGTATATTTATATTTCAGCCGCTTTTCTATTCTTCCTTTATTTTTTTATATTTTGTGTTATTTCTATTCATAAATAACAGATTACTTAAACATACATTCATTATACTTAAATAACACTTTGTTATTGTTTTAAGGTTGGTCTCTACGTATGATACACTGTGTCTGTATTTAATATTTTTCTATGTCAATTTAAATTCGGAGGTATGTCCTGGTATCTTCATAAGACTTCTAAGAATGAATACCTTGTTCGAAGCAAGAAATCAAGTCGTTTACCCAGAAATTTAATCATGAAACCACTATTTGCCATTCTAGCAACATGGACATTTCAGGTAAGTAGGCCTAATAAAATGTAAAAAATGTGGGAAACATCAAACAATACAGTTAAACAAAGAAACCAAATTATCAAAAGAAGTCAATTGATTAGATGAAACCGATTAGAACACATGATAAAACTGCCAGAGGATACAGTACTACCGAAACAGATTATTAACAAAGCACTCAAAACTTCACATTCACATAAAAGTGAAAGAGCAGTGGATGGACAAAATTTAAGTAGTAGTGCCTGGTATTCAGTTATTACTATTAAATTACCGTACAGTTTTAAATTCTTGTACAAGCAAAATAAGAATTCTACTATTTTTCAGCAAGTGCTTCACAAGTTAAATTGAAAGAGTGACAGACGGACGGACAAAGTTCCCTAGAAGAGGACTACCTAAATGTGAGTATAATAAGTCATTAAATAAATAAGATTCCATTAATATTATATTAGCGCAGGCCCCTCATGCCTATCTGTACAGGCGGAGTAATATGGTTTAGGTCATGCGTTTTGGTTAGAGAGTGTATCCTTGCTACGAGATGCTCTCTGACAATGACTATGGCACCAGTTCATACTAGAGGTGAGTCTCTCTGAACCCTTGGTTCAATTTATATTATCAATCTGTTACCTGGGAAAAAATTAAGTATGCCAATCCAGGTAATAGTTATAGGGGATAGTTTTGTCTCCAGAATTCAGAGCCAATTACAGTAGTTGGTAGATGGGCGAATTTCGGTTTTGCCAGTACGCAGTTTACAGTCGATTGCGTAGACCTAAGTGGCGCTAACGTCAAAAGCTGGCTTGTTGAGGACTTCTCAAATATGAGTATAATATTACTTACAAGATGACAAAGATGCTTGACTACTACCACTTTCGAAATGTTAGTATGGATATGTTAATATGATGACACGATAAACAGAATTTTTTCAACTTGTTGGAGACAAGGCTGCGAGCTGTGGTACAAGTTGCCACCATGGATGGACATTTTCATTTTATACACAGAAAATGCTCACCAAAAATGAGGTTCTGGAGCAAGTCGAACACCTTTTCTTCTATTTCTTCGCAAAGACCAAACCAAACAAATGTGGAATCGACAACGTATGGATCACCCACACCACAACCCAAGAAGAAGTAGAAGTAACAATCAACAAATGCAATGCAAAGTCATTTACCATCAATGGCGAAATCATGAGAAATTTTGGCAACTACGCCAACAAAACCATTGGGCCAGACGACTTCATCAACTTCTGAATGGGGACAATACACTCTTTAACAAAATATATGTGTTGAATTACATAGAAATTGCTTTAAGAGACATAAACAAACTTGTAACAGGGATTTTTCGGAAAAAGAAGTAAATGCACAAGAACAAGTGTTCTCAACACATTGCAATAAAAGCATTCAAACAAGGCTGTGAGTGATAAAAATATGGATTCTGGACAAGACAAGGCAAAACCTCAAGGTACTACCGTGGATGAACATTTGGAAATATATGTTTCAAAGATGATGAGGATGTCTGATAGCTACACCACCAAAACGTTAATACAAGGATACAGAAAAGTTTATTCAGGACGAAGATGAAGAGAAGTCCCAATTCCCGATGTAAAAATACAGTTGCAGATAAACAAAATGCATGGACAATCACCGCTAAATTACACAGAAATTGCTTTCAAAACATTTTTGTAGTTAAACTTGAATTTTTAAGCTTATTAAATGAAGAAATCTGTTCTATTTGTCAAAATTATGTATTTATCTATTAAATCAACTTTATTTTTGAAAATATATTTTTGTATTCCAAGAAAAAGAAGACATTTTGGCAGAAAATTGGGAATATTGTAGCTATCTACAGGTTCTATGATTGGTTTATATTTAGTTGTTTTTATGACAATTTCAACTTAACCCTCAATGACTTTCTCATGCATTCAGAATTATGAACTGATATTAGAAAGTAAAATGGCTGGAGAAATATGCACAAATACTAAAGTTGCATTTTAAAAAAATTTAAAGCAATTTCCTAAAAGTTGAAAATCACAAACCAGGTATGATTACAATACGATAACAATGCTGATATCTTGACAGGCATCAGAGTTTGCTTTTCAGTCCTGCATCTGAAGCACTGTAACATGTTCCTGGTTTATTATCACAACGCAGATGTTGATTGAAAAATGCTAATATGTTTCTCCACGCATTCTCTTGTGCCTCGGCATGTTCGTTGGTTCTTCCACCAAATAATCCTACACCCACTGTTAAAAAGAACAAGATCATGAATTATTTTAATGGAACTTGATAGTCACATGTTGGAATCTTTTTACCACAAAAAATTCTGAAATACAATGGTATTTTAAGATGCACCTAAAGCTGACCATTCACTCCGCCAATGGTCATCGGCCGACACGATTCTGTGAAGAATGCAACGCTACCAAAAATCAGCAGACGGTATCGCGTTGCCTAGCAATCTCAGGGAGCAGAGTTTGTTTAATCGTGCGACGATCATATGACCGTGGTATGACGCAGTGAAGTGCCTGGCTTACCCAACAAACAGATTATCTCAAAGAAATTTGTTGAAATAATTAAAAACATAAAACGAAAAAAAAAAACCGGAAATAATTTACAATAACTAATATAATAACCTCAGGGTGGCACTTTCGGAAACATATCAATAAAATGGGGGAAATTTACTACTTATACAAGACTTGGTACCAAATTTTATTTATTTATTTATTTGTTATTATAAATGCCCCAGCGGGCATCCCTCCAGCATTTTCAATCTGAAGTGATTTCAATCATCTCCTCCACATTGGGAGTCGACAAAGAACTGAGCCAGGAATAAACAGGGCCAATTTTGTGGATAACTCTAGGAGATAATTATCCATTCTCAGGATATGGTCGAGGTATTTCCATCGAGTTTGTCTCACACGGTCAAGAACTTTGAATGAAAGTTCTCTCGCCTCCTCGTGAATACTATTTTTGGTGATCACTGATAGCATCTTTGAAGTTACTTACTTTGGTTGCCTTGATAAACTTCACTACTTAGTGGCGTGTACGGCGGTTCAATCAAATGTCCTGCTCCTGGGTAGCTGATTAATGTCCAGTTCTCTTTCTTGTGATCTCTCAGACGTTGACAAGCTTGGTCAGCTAACTCAGCGATTTTAATTGACCAATCATCTTCACCAACGACAAACAAAAAAGCACTGGTTGCTTTCTCAATCTAAACAAGAAAAGAACCACAATTCCTTGTGTAGTAACATATGAAAATCAACTACAGTTGGTTGGGGAATGTATGTCTGTTAAATTGTAAAAATATTATTAACACAAATAATAATATAATAACAATAAAAACTATTTTTTACTAAAATTACAATAATAACAACAATAACAATGATAATAATAATAATATAATAATAATAATAATAATAATAATAGAATACTTATAATAAAAATAATAATACAGTAATAATTAAATAAATGATAATAATAATAATAATATAATAATAATAATAATAATAATAATAATAATAATAATAGAATACTTATAATAAAAATAATAATACAGTAATAATTAAACAATAACAATACTAAAAACAAATACAGATATTATTAAAGACCAAATCATAATTTTACTATGGTTTTCATTCAAGTGAAATAAAGAAACACCAATTAACCAATGTTTGATGCATTCCTCATACAATGGCTTTGGATCAGAATAAAAAATTACCCATCAGACTAGCATGGTAGTTCTGTGTCACTTCAGGTCATCAAACCAAAACTTTTACTTTTGGGAAATCCAGCCCATTAATAGTCTTTTGTGTTAAATGTGTTAGTTGATAGTTTTTATTGTGCTTCTTTGTATGGTTTTGATAGTTGGCGAAATAAATGATACAAATGCCGTTCCTAATATTGTGGTCTAATTACCCTCCAAAGCCATAACATTTCTACCGATTAATCCTACCAGTGTTTTACTCCAGACTGGAGGCACTAGGTTGTCACTCTGTTCAAAACCCCCTTATGTTAAGTTTCTTGAGCCACAAACACTAAATATGTTAAAACCTATTTCAATCCATTAACAAACATACTTCAATAAAACCGTCTTTTTCAAGGTATGGCCCAAAAACTGGACACTGTCTTCTGTCTTGCTTATCATCAATGAATATAATTCGAGAAATATCATAACTGCAATATGAAAAGAGAGAAATGCAGTGATGTTTATAAAAAATTAAAAAAGTTGAAAAATAAAAAAAGTTCAAAAATGACCTGACCTTGATCAGTGATGTAAACAAAGAAAAAGGGGGTGCCTGAGCACCCTCCCAAAACCCTTTATGTCCAAACATAAAAAAGTATAGTAAATTAATGGAAATAAATTGCCAAGTTCCTTAAAGCCTTGCACTCACTGGGTCATACGACCGTCAGCGGATAATTCCAACTCTGCTCGCTGTGAGTGTTAGATGATGCAACATCGTCTGATTGTTGATGGCATTCTGAAAAGATCGTCATTAAGAACAATTCATTGCGCGCGCGTTGTGGTGTTGCATTCTCCATATTATCGCGGCGGCCAACGACCGTCGGTCGCAGATAATGCCCAGCTTAAGACAACCACAGCAGTCAAAAGCCATCGATCTGCTCTGTCCCCTAGATTTGCACCTTGCACCAAGTCCAGTGGATGTAGTATTTCTGTCCAGCACCCCATCCCCCCATACCACCCCTTTTAAAAATCCTTTATACACCACTGATGATAATCAAATTCAAATTACACACACACTATCAGAATCATCACAGCAGTAAAAGTGAATTGTGATAACAAATAGAAACAGCCAATTTTAAAATACAATTGCCTCCCACCCACCCCCCACTCCCTTCACTTCGTCACTAGCACTGGTGAAAAAATATGATTCATCGAATGAACAGAATGTCAAACAAACCTTGCACTTGAAGTAATGGAATAAGATAGGAAAATTGCAGAAAACTATGTATGATGAACAATACATCATAACATTTTGAATTTATGTACAGTAAATATACAACATTAACTACAATGGCTAAACAATGCATTTAACGTACAAGTATTTACTGTATGTAATAACATTATTCGAAGATACCAATGCAGACACAGCTATTGCTATTACCTTACCCTAGCTGATAAGATAGATGCATATGTCCACTAGAGTAAGTAGCCCTCCTGGCTATGAGAGTTGAATATATCACCAGCTTAAATAATAATAATAATAATAATAATAATAATAATAATAATAATAATAATAATAATAATAATAATAATAACACATTTGTAATTATACAGTATCTTTTAAAGCTAAAAACAAAATTTGTATTGGCTTACACTAATATCATTCTTACATCATAACTGGTTTTTCTTCATTTTTGTATAGTCGTGCCGGGCTTTCTTTAAAATGATAATGCGATCCATTGATGCAAACACATGCCTTGATCTATGAAATGAATCAATGTTGATTATTAATATTCAAGATTTTCTATAAATTTATCAATAAAGATAATGATATTCATGATACTTGCATATTACTTGTACTGCATGCAGTTTGTTTTTTGCACGATATTCATAGTATTTGCATATCACTTGCGCTGCATGCAGTCTGTTTTTAAATGATATTCATAGTATTTGCATATCACTTGCGCTGCATGCAGTCTGTTTTTAAATGATATTCATAGTATTTGCATATCACTTGTGCTGCATGCAGTTTGTTTTTTGCACGATATTCATAGTACTTGCATATCACTTGCGCTGCATGCAGTTTGTTTCTAAATGATATTCATAGTACTTGCATATCACTTGCGCTGCATGCAGTCTGTTTTTAAATGATATTCATAGTATTTGCATATCACTTGTGCTGCATGCAGTTTGTTTTTATGTGATATTCACAGTACTTGAATATTACTTGTACTGCATGCAGTTTGTTTTTACGTGATATTCATAGTACTTGCATATTACTTGTACTGCATGCAGTTTGTTTTTACGTGATATTCATAGTACTTGCATATTACTTGTACTGCATGCAGTTTGTTTTAAATGATATTCACAGTACTTGCATATCACTTGCACTGCATGCAGTTTGTTTTGTCAAATGATATTCATAATATTTGCATATCACTTGTGCTGCATGCAGTTTGTTTTTACGTGATATTCATAGTACTTGCATATCACTTGCACTGCATGCAGTTTGTTTTTAAATGATATTCATAGTACTTGCATATCACTTGCACTGCATGCAGTTTGTTTTTCAAATGATATTCATAGTATTTGCATATCACTTGCGCTGCATGCAGTTTGTTTTCAAATGTAACTCATCCTGTATATTAAAATCCTTAAATTTTGTGATTATTCCAATTTAAATATTTTAGGCTCTAACTATTTTTTTATCACTCACTTTGTTATATTCCACCAATATATGATTAAAAGAAGAAAAAAAGGCGTACATCTAAAATATGCTTGGAAACCAGAACAATTTAAAGTTAATGTTGGCATACCTTCTGTTGAAATAATACTGACATCATCATGGATATTTGAGCTCCCATGGAAACACCAAGAACACCTAGCCCATCCTCTGCTACAAATGGAAGACTAATCATCCAATCAACAGCTTCCTATAACAGAAAGTAAACCTGCTATTCAGCATATTGCATTTTAAGCATATAACCAGTATTCTACTTCTGACTTTGGTATACAGTGTATGTCTAAAATATTACCTTGGAAAGCTTGAAACATCAGGGAGCTGGGCCCCACCTGTTCCTTACTTCAGACACTGTCGTCTTTTGCAGTACACGGTAGTACAACCGAGGGCTTTTCTGAGGTGCAAGCTACCGCAGCCCAGCATACCTCAGTGGAAGGAGCCCTGTTCTGGATACCTATACTGATAGCGCACATGCTTTTCAGAACTGTTTTTAGTTCAAGTACTGTAGTTTAAGTCAAATTTACTTACAGCCTGTTTTTCTTGTTGTAAAGTACATTGAGGCTTTTGTGGAATGCGCTACAGAAGAATGGAATTCTTATAATAGATATGTTTAGTTTAGAACAATAGAGGAAGCGGTAACGGTCCTTGAAAGCCTATCTGCCTGGAGCAGAAGCACCGACAGGTGACAAGCAAGTAGTTATAATTTTATGTCAGTGGCGGACAAAGGAATTTGAAATAGAGGGCGTTTAGTGACAAAATTTTACTGGTGGAGGATCTAGACTACCTTTACTCCAATGTTGATGGGGTTGAAGCATAGCATCTCTAGATGGCCTGAAATGGCACTCTCAAACTTAAATTTTAATACAATTTTCTTTTTCTCCCCATATTTTTTTTTCAAAAATTTGGAAGGGGCCTACAGTTGGGACCCATTTGAAGCTTCACATGATGTCCACCACTGTAAATAAGCACCAAAATGGATACACCAATGCGCATGACTGTCAATATAGTAAAACTTTTACCTACCTCAAAATATTCCATAGTGACGCGATGTTGGGAAATGGGTAGATCTTCATACTGGAAGTAAGGTAAACATAATGTAGCGTAGCCATGCGATGCGAGTAAAGCAGCTCTGAACTCAAAAATTCCTCCAATGAAACCAAATATATCAATCACTCCCGGACACAAGTTGCTGTCTAAAAAACATGAGTATAAGGTAGATTGGTCGGCCCAAAGAAAACTCAATGTGCGCAGCAAATAATTTTAAATAACCCACTCAAACTGCCACAGACAATAGACCTTTCCATTAGGACCCGCCCCTAGAATATTGTTGCAAAGTTTACATATTCCTGGTCTTATTCTGATTGGTCAGCTGTTAAATTTGTTTGACACTCCGGAAAGGTCGTACGACGCAATTTTTCGCGTTGGGTCTGTGTGAGTTAAACGCAGATACGATGGTTTGGACCGGGGTCAGTCACGTCGTAGAATACTGTATTAAAATCATGTATTTCTCATGATAGCTTAAGACTGTCCCGAAGATAAATAGCGTCGGGCTGCGTCGTACGATGCTGTCTGAGTTGGCCTTTAGCAGACAGCACACATCATTTGCGCTCACAGAACGTAGGATTCCACGGCCAACCGTCATACAAATGCAGTGTGTTCCTGGATTCAGTGCAAAAACTGTTATGAATAAGCATAATAATTCTTGAAATATTTATTATTTAAAAAAAAAAAATTTAATTTCAGAACTGAGATATGATATGAACATAATAATTTCTTTTAGTACAGTTTATTTGGTTGTTGCATATTTTTGTTTTTTTGGTTTTCAACTTTTCTATTTTTCTTTTAGTTTGTATTTCTCTATGTACAACAGTTCTTGTCTAGTTGTACATTTACATTTGTTTCATACATAAAAGATACGGCCTCATGGAAGAATAGCTCTTTGGTGAACAAGACTTAAAAGAGAACTAGCAAAATGATTTTTTGTTCTAGAGTGGATATTTGATATGACATTAAATAGAATCAACCTTAAAATCGTTTTTTGGCTATTTTTTATGAAGTTATAGGCGATTATATACGATTTACCATGACATCACTGGTGAAAAAGTAACAAAAGGTCGTGTAAATAGCGCCACGTAGGGTATCCAGCGCGTAGGGTATCCAGCGCGCAGGGTATCCGCCGCGTACGATCTTTGCGTGCATGCTGTAATGATCACAATTTACAGTCATGGTTACAGCATACACGCAAAGATTGTACGTGGCGGATACCCTACGCGGCGCTATTTACACGATCTTTTGTTACTTTTTCGCCAGTGACGTCATGGTAAAATCGTATTTAATCGCCTATAACTTCATAAAAAAAAGCCAAAAAATGATTTTAAGGTTGATTCTATTATTAATGGCATATCAAAAATCCTCTCTAGAACAAAAAATCATTTTGCTTGTTCTCTTTTAAGCTGGGTGCCTGACGGTTGAAGTGATTCTTTAAAGAATGCAATGCGACGATGCACATGCAACGTATTGTTTTTAATGACAGTGTTAAGACTGCTACTGGCAATTAGCAGGGAGCCGAGTTGGATTCGTCATACGACGCAGTCAGAACCCAGCTTTTGATTGTAAAAAAAAAAGAACCAGAACCCTGCGGGTGTGTACGTTCTTTTGTACGTAAACGTAGTTTAGAGGGATATGTAGTCCAGTAATGGTTTCTAATGTTTTTACGTACACCTACACCCCCATACAGGTCCGTCCATCAAATGCTGTATATTTACATATCTGCCAACATTCGAATATCAAAAATAGGGACGCTATTCATTGGTGACAAAAAATTAAGATGGCAATTATATCCTAATTCCTGTACAGTTGCTTCAAACAAAACTAGATTTATACTTAATTTCAAGTGTACTGTTTATTTACCTCACAACCAAGAAAAAATATTTAATTTACATTTTAATCAGTAGGCTTACAGACTTCACCATGAAGGGCACGGTATGTTGCTTGTTTCGCTGGATCTCAGACATTGGAGTCATAACGTCAATATTTATTTGAATGACACTTATAATCTCTGTTCAACATTTCCAGCTTGTGTGTCATTAAAGCACTTTAAGTTTTTGTTGTCATGCTAGCTCGAAGCTTGGTTTCGTTTTTTCAACAATAGAGAAAACTTTCTCAGTCACTACTGCTATAAAATATTACCATAGTTCCCCGGGTAGAATCCCACACCGACTTTACACCCAACTTCGCTTACACAAATTTCCCCGGGTGATGTTCCAGGGTCTGAGGATTGGGTAAGTCGGCCAGCAGGCCTTGCCTAGGTCGATAAATTTAACAAATGCTCAAAAAATAAAGGAATTGTCTCCGAATTCAGCCGACTTGAAACTCTTAAAATTGCTTAAAACTGATATTGGTTGCCATAAATTAAAACACAAAGCCCATTCTTGTAAATTACTTTGTTGTTTACTGTCGCTAAAAATAAGCAGCTCGCTAACTGCGGCTAAAGTAAAGACAGACAACACCGCGGTCCGTCCCTGAAAAGACCTGCCCAGTGGGCTGATCGGATCGTTAATTCACAGCGTGAAGACTCACATGTTTCCACAGAGATTGGCTGCTAAAAATAACTTGTTACAACATGCAAGGCTGATTTCTTCGCCCGAATATTGTTTTGATAGGCTATTGAATCGTAGGTGAAAAACACCTTGCAAAACGATCGTCATTTCGTTTGTTCATACACTAGACCAAGGGAATCCCGGGGTATAATTCCACTCCCCTCCCCCCTGAAATCGGGACAGTTTCGCGTTCATGGGGATGGGATTATACCCGGGGAACCACGGACTAATATTCCCTTCATCACACTGGCAAGTAGTGGATACTTTTTGCAATTATTTTTTTTTTTATTCTAAAAATAGGGACGTACCTATTTTTTGGTGTTTTTGACATCGGAAATCGGGACGTCAATTTGAGATAACAATTTTGAAGTATGATTAACATTTTCGGGTATCCAAAGCTGTCATGTCCTAAAAAGCTCCCACCTTAACCAAAACCATGGTAGGGCTGGGGTGGTGTTGGGTTACACCACAAAATGTCCTTCATTTTTATTTTTTCACAATTTGGCAGATTTGCCACTGTTTTGAACTTGACTGGTCAAATCACAGAACCAAAGTTGGCGGTTTTAGAAGTCAAACTTATTCATTTATCATCTACTAAAATAGTCTTCATTGTTTGACATACCTCCTCCACAACAACAAATTTTCTTTCGTTCTTCGTTCAAAATCTGCTTAGTGACACGCATGCGTAATAAGTAGAATAGTTATCACAATAACTCATAGAGATATAATAAGAATAACTACAACCACTGCTGCATACTGCATGTCACGCATGCGCTGTATGGTGGTAGATAAAACGTGCCTCGGTCAATTATTTATTTTCGAGTTTGCAGAGAGTTAAGAATACGGAATACTCATTTATTTTACATATTCAAGTATACATGACATGACTATGTTGTAAACCAGTAAAATTACACAGCAGTCGTAAACAAAAAAAAAACTTCCTCATACTGACGACACGTACGTTTTTCTGTGTTTAAAGTACAGTAACTGTGCACAATTAGTTTTTTTCTGCACCACTTTCTTTTGGTTTTTTTTTATATATAGGCCTAGAGGAATTTCATTTCAACGATTGTAAATAGTCTATCAAACTAATGCCGCCAAAACTGTCAACTTTTGCTCTGTGGTTTATCAAGCCACAGACCTCTAGGGTCTAATTCCAGTAATGGAGGTCAGTCTGGTCAGAATAGTAGGTTGTGTTTATATGAATGCATTTTTGCTACATATTCAATCGTTACAAATACTCTTGATTTTTATTTTGTCGCGGATTATTGTTTATTGATCTGTATGGTAGTCTTGTGGTAGACCAATATATTATTTATTTTACAAGACTGAATGCTGCTGTCGTCGTCGTGTTTTGTACGTATTGCCAGGGAGTTGTTATAGTATTGCACACCAATAGCAACGTCAATTGCCGTGTTCATCGTGTGTAAAAGACTTTAGAGACAAGCAGTAGTCGACTTACCACAACTACCTCAGTTCACGCTAGGGCCTATACGTTCGCATAAACAACACAGACAACTTCTCTAGTGTAAACTGTATACTCTCGAGATAGAAACAAAATTTCCGCAAAATATTAAACACGTTCGATCCAATACCATTATGTAAAGACCGTGTTTGGTTAGATCACTTTTTTTCATTTTTAATAACACGTGCACCTGCTACATTAACACGACAGAGGCCTAACCCTACCCACGATCCCGTAAACAATTGGTCAACTACACCAACAAGGTATGCATTATGGAGCTCGCTTACCCTCTCGCGATGAAAAACAAAATGTTAGCAAAACATTATACCCACCGTGAGGCACCGTTTAGGAGCCTATTCGTTTAAAAAACCCACTGCTCACTTTGCTCACACACACACACACTCACATACATTTCATGTTCAAATTATCCCATTAGTTCCTTGTGACCTTAAGGTCACAAAGGAACTAAAAATTATTTTATCATTGCGACATAAATTACTCACTTTTTGGTTTAAAGAGAACACCTCGGATATTTCCAGTACTGATCTTGATCCGTTCGACGTCATCTGATAGATACCATCTTTCGATTTTAATTTTTGATAACACTGCTGGAGCAGAAGACTTGTAGAAGTCTTCTGTTGTCAACCATCCATCATAAACTGCTAGATGCACTTCAAATGGAGTTGTAGCAACTATTTTACGAAGTCGCGTTCCAGACTTTTGATTTGGTGATGGCTTCATGCTTGTGAAAAGACCCATTTGCTGGATGCCTTTTATGAGAAACAATCAACTTTAAAAACACAAACAAAGCAAGCACTTTAACTTATTAAAGTTGGGAGTGTAAATGATGCTTGTAAGGTTGAAACTTCAGCAGCACCGACAGCAATTGCTGTAGAAAGGGCCTTCCACTGCTCCTGTAAATCCCAGACTCGACAGCAAGCTTTTTGCTGTTGAGTTGCATAATCTGGGCCTAGCAATGGATTATACAATTACATTTATAGAATAATAGGCCTACGGCACAGGTAGGCAAAGTGCGGCCCTACAGTGATTATTTTGCGGCCTGCGAAATTGAAATAAAAACCCTATGTGTGCGACTCGCCAAGCAACATTAGCTAGAAAACACTTTAATTTTTACGGCCCGACACCGATTATATGTATAAAGTAACATTAAACTGAGAATAAAGTGGTGTAAAAGCAGTGCTTTGAGGTTTTTGGAAGCTCAATGGAAATATCAAAATTCGGGTGCAGCCCTCTGTGTTAAATCCAAAATTCACTTTCGCCCTCAGACCGATTTTTATGGCCACACCTGGCCTACAGTGTTCATAAAACAGTTTATTAAGCTTGCTGTAGAAGAATAAATGGCTGTAGTAAAGCCACAGCCTACAGCAACTATTTGCTGATAGAAAAATTTTTAGGAAATTCGAACCCTGTGCTTGCTATCCCAAAAACAGTGTACTATCACTAAAATGTTATACTGAGTAAATAGCATAAAAATGTGGTAGTATTGTATACTTCAGTACAGAGAAGCAGTAATAATCTTAATCATAATAAACAGATTTCAGTAAATGACCTATAATTTTGAAAGCTTCAAATGTGGAGAACATGAATGTGAAGTAAATTTTCTTGTTTTGGTCTGACACTGATGCTGATTTTGGCACCGCTGGCCCAAAATGGGTATTTAGAACATGAACAAAGTCGAAATAAAATGTAGTCTGGGGCTTAGCTTTCTGGCTAGAACAAATCCTAAAGGTTCCTAGGTACAGTTGATGGTGCAATGTAAGTGCTGAGAAAGCAGCTTAGCTCAGTTGGCTTAACTAGTGATAACCACTTTGTATATGTGCTGAACCGTGGAGTCTCTCTCTAGGTCCCTGGTTCAATTCCCATCGCTGCTCTCCTTGTATTTCAGCTAGAGGGCTGAAAGGCAAGTTGTCTTTCGTATGAGAAATGTTTAAGCCGTTGGTCCCGTGTGCATTATGGCCCATGTGCATGTTTAAAAACGCAGTACATTCTTCGGAAAAGAGCAGGGGATTTTCTCCCTGTGTACAACCCAATCACCACCAGAAGGATCCCACTGGAAATAAGTTTTCTTAAGACTTTTCATGGATTATCCTTGGTGTTTACACCAAATATATCCATCCATTAAAGTATTTCTATAATGATTAGACCTATAATAATCATAAGCAAAATTATCAAATCATTTAAGGCCTTTTATTACCTATATAAGATCCTCCCTCAGATATTTGGCAGGTATCCATATCTCCATTGTTGTCTGCTACAAAGTGAGCATGTGCTTCAAACTTTTTTCCCAACTCGTCAAGGAAAGCCCGGAGAGTTACATTCTGATGAGGTCTGAGGCCACCAACTTGAATATCGATGATCTCATCTACCAAGGCTTGAGGTTTTGAAACCTTTATAAAAGGCATAATATATTCCTAGAAAAAATATAAAGATTTCAAAATGATAAAAAAAAACATAGGTTTTTACTTTAACTAGAAATGTTTGTTCTGTATGTTGTTTAATATTGATGTTAAAAATGAGAAAAACCCAAACAATTCACTAAATTGTGGTCACTATGTTAACATTATACAAAAGATGTCATCATAAATATATCATACATACTTTATACTGTGTCGCGGTCTTACAAAAATACTTTTAAAATACAATTGTAAATAACAATGTTTTTTCCCTGAAAACAACTTCATTTGAAAGTATAAATCCAAGTAGGGAGTTGAATATTTAACAATTTCCTGCTCAAATCAAAAACTTAAAAAAATACCCATCATAATAAATGACATCAATGACATCATAATAAAACTATTAAATTAAATCCCAACACGATGCCAGATGGCACGTATTAAATTTCTTGGATTTTGATTTGAATTTTATTGGGTTTTGAAAAAACAATGGCAACCATTATCATTATTTATTAATAGTGGTTGTGCATCCAGGGTCTGTGATTATTCCAAACTTTATTATTTATTAGTGGTTGTGCACCCAGGGTCTGTGATTATTCCAAAATTTGAAACCTTAATAAAAAATGCTGGCCCTACCTACTGATGCTTGCTAGTCTATCAAATCATGGTCAAATTAAATATTATACTAGGCCTATCCTTGCTTAGTGAGGGGGTGAGTGGCGGCCTAGGCCTCCCCTTTTGCACCACCATTTCTACCTACCTAGCCTAGGTAGGGGGCCCCTCCCTAGCTAGGGCTAGCCTAGCCTATAGCCTAGCCTAAAAATACTACTACCATAGTCTGAAGAATAAGGAGCAATTTCCACTAAGCTTCGTAAATACTTACGGATTGTTCCTGAACAATACCTGTCTGTAAGGCTTAGCTTTAAAAAATGAATCAATAAAAATTTTCATTCTGCAAATTTTCGAATCTCGCTGCTGCAGTCTGCTATCAGTGCAACATGTGCGCGTGCGCCGTGACAGCGTGTCAACTCTCAAAGGTACGCGCGCGCCGCACACAGGTCATGATGTCAGTGTGGCGGCGCCAGCGCTAGCGGGGAGACGGCCAGGGAACTTCCCATCGGACAGGTCAAGCCCCCCACCCCCACTCATCGGACAGAGATCGTCGGGCAGTCAGCTGAAACCAAAAAATATAAAGATAGGCCTACTACGAAAGGGCAGACCGCCCTCAACTTAAAACTTAAAACTATAAAATACTCAGTCATAATCACTCTCAACTTTTAGCCCGGAACCTAACCTAACAAAAATTGTTATCAATACCAATACAAATAAATAGAGTATGGCCGAAGCGGCCGCAAGCAAAGCTGTATAAATTATCAGGGTCTACATTTCGGAACGCATTTCTAGACCTAATTTGGTGCGGGGGATATTTTACAACATGAATGGCACACAGACCCTCATTTCATTTGTTGCCCAAAATAAGTCAAACTGCATACCTTTCAAGGAAGGACAAGCACTTTATATTTCCTGGTTAAATCGGAAGTGTTGGTGACTATAAATTGCATATTTTTAATTAATTAATAAATAATTCATAAAAAGCATTTTGAATGTTAATATATCGCAATATGTTCGTTCGTCGAGTCACGTTTGCCGAAAAGTGGGTCAACAACTCCCAGCATATGATGAGCATGCAGTGCGTAACCATAGTCGGTTTTTTGTTTGATTTGTGCGCAACAAGTTGCGTGTTGTCAAGAGTCCGACTTTTCATAAGCATTCTAAAAGCATAGACTAATAGGTCCATGGTAAAAGCATTGCTCATTACGGTATGTATCCTATTCTAAAAATGCTTTTAGACATTTTAGGGACAAGTAAAAAAATAAATTAAATAAAAAATAACACTTGTCCCGGGGGTCAGACAAGTAAGTTCGCTCATGGCTGACTGCAGATTAAAATGAATATAACAAAATGGATACAAAGTAAGACGATACATATTTCTTTATTGTTTTAATTATTGTGATGATTTTACCCTTGTTTCGAAAGAGAAATTGCACTGATAAATTCCAATGTTTTATGTGCACAAGAAATGTTTCTAATACATGGTTTATAAAATGAACAACACGCAACACAAATTAGTAAAACATCATATTATATATATATATATATATATATATATAGGCCTATATATATGTATATGAAGGCCTAATATATATATATATATATAGTTATGTTATTTATTTTTATTTATATAAATAAATTATGTTCCAAAAATACGTCAACTTGACTTTTGTTTTCATTGTCATCGCTTTCACCAATATATTTGCTGTCTCTTATACACATCTAGATGTATAACAATTGTTCATTCACTAAAGAACAAATACAACAAATTAGTAAAACTCAAATACAATACAAAATACAAATTAAAAACTATTGTTCATCACAAAAATGAGTTAAAAAGTACTAGGCCTATCGAAATTCTGTAAGAAAATAGGCATATTCATGAAAAAAAAAATAATTCTCGAGTTATATAAGTAAAAATATACGTAATAAAATAGACATTAATTTGATAATTGACAGTGTTTATATCGCACTTTGTGACTACTGTCCAATGTGACACGTATTGGACACTACACGCTATGCATCCCTGAAAACTATATTAACATATCTAGCTCTCTCTATTGTTTATATATTTTCATAAGCATTCCATTATATTATATTACATTATATTTGTTTCATGAATATTATACAAATTGTATTCATCTATTGTCTAATAATAATGTTTTGGGTGCTTTGAATGCCTTTGTAATGTTGTTTATAAATTTCGGAAATATGCTCTATAAATTTGGGTTATATTGTATTAGATTAATTAGATACTTATTCCATATTTTCCTACAGTACGGTATAGACTGTACAATTGTAGAGTACGGTACCTCATTTACCTGAAACTAACTTTTGTTTCTTAAATAAAATCGTTATTCAAAACAATGTGGCTAATATGGCTCTAATTTTGAACAATATACAGCAATACTTTCAGTAATCAGTCACATGGGGATTTGGTGGAATTGTTACCCCAACACATATTATTATTATTATTAGTATTACTTATTGTATAGTATATTATTGTATAAATGTATTGTTGTCATTTAGTCAAATAGTGAAAGTTGTTAATTGTACCCAAAAAAATGGTCATCAGCGAACTCTGATAACATGAGTTAATTAATTAACATATATTGAGTTGGACAACAATTTTTATACAATCCTGTTTATTTTTTATTATTATTATTATATAAATATATATATATATAGAAACAATAATAATAATAATAATAATAATAATAATAATAATAATAATAATAATTATTATTATTATTATTATTATTATTATTATTATTATTATTATTATTATTATTATTATTATTATTATTATTATTCCCAATCCAGACAACCAGTTTTGGGGTTGGTGCTACAAGTATTTTGCCAAGAGAATTTTAATGGCCGGCATAAAAAAAAATGTTGTATTATCTAGGCCTGGCACTTTGTGTTCCTCTCTAGTTGCGTTCATTGAAAGGGAAACAAGTTTGACAACAATAGACAACGCATTAACCTACTTTTATGAAGTAGGATCACCTATGCCATTTAAAAGAAAGATCAACAATAAAGTTGAAACAACTTTAAAATGTCAAACAAAAATGTGCGTGCGATACTTAAATTACTTTAAAAATATGTTTTCAAAAAATTAACTTTGTAGTGCATCATACCGTGACAAGAGGCCCACGTAAATACCTGACTGAAGAAAATATAATTGAATAAATTCAAAGGGTATGAAGCACTTCAAATGGCTTCTTGTGAGAAAAAAAGTTAAAAAACTAGTTTCAATTTAGCACCACATCCTGCTTGCAGCGAACCAGATCTGAAGTATTCATGGTGCTTGTCAAAAAATATTTACTGATCTTGACAGATAAATCTGAACAATATCTACAAAAAACATGCATATTTTCTCAAAATCATTTATATTAGTACATTGTACCCTGACTCCATTAGCGGTTCACCTATAGATATTGTGGGAGAATGTAGGCCTATTTCTCTTTTGTTGTCCGTCTTCACCCATTAGTATTTAATGGTACCGCCACCTTAAAACTAGGTCTGTCACAATATACTATTATATTTGATGTTACGATATGCTTGGCTTTATGTTTTCAAGTTGCCGTTTCTATTCAGTCCAATGATGTTTCAATTTAAGGCCAGAAACTAACAAACCCTTGAAGACGTTTCTCACTTGAGAACAGTTTATGGCTATTTGCACCAGCATAATGCTTAATAAGTTGGTGGAATTTTTTTCAAAGCTTCAAGAACAATTTGCTCGTGTGCACTTAAAAGAGCCTAGTACAGTACATCATTATTATTAGTTTGAGAAGTAAGGGGTTACCCCGGTGTTCTTGTCTATCTGGCCCATGTCATTGTGGACATAGGCAAGTGGGCCTATCAGCAGCTGATCAGACATGACGTGACCACTTGTGATTGGTCAGTTGTTAAGCTTGATTGACATTCCAGAAAGGTCTATTCAAGCCTAGTAAAACTGAAAGTCACATGGTTTTTTCCCTTCCGTACCTTGTTTGAAATCCAAATATCACTGTTTACCAGTGAACGACACTCACAACCCATATCAAGCATTATCATGGCACCACACAACATCTTCACCAATTAAATCAAACCATACTCTGACATTTCAGGTGAGTTTTTAAATACCATTGCAATGACCATCAATCATTTAGCACATGGCCTAATTTAGGAAGCAATATATGAAGACCCAATAACATGAGTAAATGCCCTATGGCGTTTATTGTTGAGAAGGGATTTTGAGGGGGATTTATTCCAGGGAGGCGTTTATTTTTTTGTTGTAAAATGGATACGTACGGTATATACAGTACTCAAATAAACGCTCCTCAATTTGACTGTAAATATGGAATTTAACAAATAATTATAGTCGGGTTGCTAAAAGCCAGTTGGCAACGGGCCTATGGTGGTAAAGGTCGGGAGAAACGCCGGGTGGCAACGGGTCAGTTGGCAAAGGGCCGGGTGGCAAAAATGCCGGGTGGCTACGGGCGGACCCGGGTGGCAACTGGCCGGAACCAGATTGTATAATATTAACATATTTAAAGGAACCATAGGCACATCATGACATCAAGTACCGTATAATATCATAGGCATCACTTGTACGGGGCGCGGACTGCATTATGCCTTCCTTCTCAAAATTCTATCTGAACAATCTTGATTTTTTTTTAAATAAATTAAGTTCGCTAAAACTTGTTTCTGTAGTTAGATCAATGCACTGTTGGCCTAAATGCTTTTGAAAACATGTTATTTCAAAGCAATCGGGTGTAGGCCTACAGCTTTATGCTTTTCTTTATCGTCGAAGATCGGTTTAACATTGTTTTCGAACTGCTTCACTGTAATCATGGTGGTTTTAGTGCCTCGTCACTTTTCAACCTGACATTACTACCGCTTATCTTGCCACGGTGTAATGCACTTATGCTACAATTGAAATAATAGCACGCAGATGATTCCTGGCATTTTTTTTTTCAGTCGGCGGGTGAACATACTTCTATGAAAATGTTTTAGATTTACCACTTCAATGGTGCATTGTTCTATTGTTGTAACTATATATTTTTTAAACTTTTAACTAGTAGGCCAAATGAATTAGGCGACTTAGGCCACTCAACGTCCGTGTTTTACACATCACGGTGTCATCAGGATTTACACATGGAAATTAGAACAACATTTGAACTGTTTATTAGTACCGGTACTGCGCACTTATAAATGCGCCTTTTCTTACCGGGCTATGAAACGTAAGCCAAGTCTCAGCAATTCAAGAGAACTTTTGTGACGACCACAAGTGACCCCGAAAAACATCATAGTCACTAAATAACTTGACAATATAATCAAGACACAGCTAATGCGACAAACATAATCCAAGATTCAGTGACAGTTTAAAGTTATTAAAACGTGAAATGCATTAGGCCTTTGCTTACGGGGCTAAATATCCATTGCCGCTCACATCAAAGTGAATGCAAACTGGAAAGCACTCAGATGAGCATTTACAAATCTTTGAATGATACCATTATGTCAAGATGTTCAATTTTAACAAGAATTAATGCATCCTCCAACCCTCAAATCCAACGCAGGAAAAATAGATATAAATAAACAATAAAGCATAGAACCAAATCTCTGACATAAACTACCATATATCATGGGAACAAATAGCAGCCGACAAATCTAAATGTAGACATATTTTGAGGTTTAGAATTCTATGTAGATAATTTGAAAGTAAAATGCGCGATAAAGGCCTGTTGTAGGATTTTAGCAACTCCTCCTACTAAACGACGTACGACGACTTAAATCCATGCTACCCTTTTTACAATCATGAAAACTAATTTGACCAATTGGATTTAAGGTGTGTAACAGTCTGCTTCTTGAGGGCGATTGTGTGCAGCAGACCCCACCCCCACCCCCACGTCTCCAGCTGCACGCCTATGACGTTTATGACGATAATAAGGAAAATATCAGAGTATAACCTTGCTACGATTAGCAATTATGTTTTCATAGAAAATAACATTCAACTGCATTAATATCGATGAAGTGGAAAGAGATACCATAGAATTTTAGCGAAATATAGAACATGGTATCAATTAAGTTATGGTTAATTTACGGCTAAATGTTATGAAATGATGAAGAAATAACATTTTTTGTAGTTCACGGCCCTCAATACCACTGCCTAAGTCGTTTATCAACGTTAACCGAATAGACATTTTTTAAGGACTTAAACGCGGAATGGACCTTTTCGGAGTGTCAATCAATCTTAACTGGCCAATCAGAACAGAGCTAGGAATACACGAGTGTCTAAAGCCTGTTTTCAAATAGGCTAATTTATTCGCACGAATCAAAAGTGTCGGTTCTATTTCTGAGCTCTGATTGGTTGCGCATTTTGTCGCTTCGCAAAAAGTAGAAACAGTTTAATTCGAACTACTGATATTTGAAGCGAAAAACTTCGATAGTAACGTGAATGCGCGTGCGCATGAACCGACGCTTTCGTTTGCGCGAATAAACTCGCCTATGAAAACAGGCTTCACAAACACACGTGCCGTATGTTTTTAACAATGTCGTTTTTGGGGATCTTAGCAACACTACCGGTATCCAAGGGGTGGGTCTAAAGCTGATTTTCCACTAGTCAGTTAAGCGTACATGAACATTAAAATACTACGATAGAAATATTATACATTATTGTATTGTATTGGAAACGCTGCTTAATCCGTAGTGGAATAAAATGCAAATACTTTACATAGTGATTAAGTACACCATAAAGTGTTTGGGTGCCAAACGCCCCAAAGTACAGCTTACATCCTGTATTCAAGTGGGGATTGGGGATTTGGTGGGAAATTGAATTCAATATAGGAGAAACGATGTGCACTAAAGGCTACAAGGCAAAATGCGCTGATTTAAGAACCAGGAAAGGGTCGCCGCGTCTCCAGTCCGAACTATGCATATTCATTAGGGCCGTACCCCTAAAGACCACTTGCCTTAAAAAAAAAATGAACCGGTGCAAACTTTTTCAGGAGAGTTTCTCTCACAAGAGACCTACTCTGGAATTTTAATAACTTTTCCATCGGTTTACTCAAATTTGAGAGTTAAAATCAGTTGATAGGTTTATTCTCATTAAAAAAACATATATATCCAGATGTTTACTTATATTGATCCACCTTTCTTGTTCAGAATGTTTTCCTGTGTGGAGATAACTATATGCAGCTATAGATTAATAAACTACTGCCATAAACCAACACTTTGATTTTTTTTCTAGAGTAAAATTCAGTAGGCCTATATAAAATTAGTACTGCTTAATATACTGTAATATAATAGATAGGCATGTAGTGTAGATAATGGAACATCAAAAGTGCTTCGATTTTGACAAAATTTGGTATAACATGTCTTATTTCTACAGAGTACCAATGTATTATCATTATCCTACCAAACTTACAAGCACTAATATTTGCTCGTGTAAATTCGAGTGCAAGACAATTGATTCTGTCAAAAGTTGATATATAGTGATTGCCCATGCAAGCAGTATTGCTCCGTGTAAAATGGGCTTTAGAGCAGGTACCGAAATTCGAAATTCGTTATTGCATCACACGACAGACAAGCAAGCCCACGCTACGCAAAATAAAAGAGTCGTTATCAAACACTCTTGTATTTGATGATAATATGTCATTATAATAACGACGAATTGTACAACGTACAGTAGTAAAACAGAGGTAGGGGCAGCTGCTCAAAGATAGTCACATAATGTACTGTGCTGCCCCTAAAGGCTTTTCTAACATAAGGACTTATTGTAAACAAAATATCATACCCATAATACATGCATCCAAATGATGCATTAACATTCAGTTAAGCGTACATGAACATTAAAATACTACGACAGAAATATTATACATTATTGTATTGTATTGGAAACGCTGCTTAATCCGTAGTGGAATAAAATACAAATACTCTAGATAGTGATTAAGTACACCAGAAAGTGTTTGGGTGTCAAACGCCCCAAAGGCAATCAGCATGTGATGGACACACACCCAAATTTATTGTAATAGTAATTTGATATATATTTACTCATATTCCGTCCGATTACAATATATTTGTTTGACTTTTTGGATATTTGAATGTTTATGTAGGCCTATGTGTAAATTCTCGAATAAGCGCCGGGGCGTTTTTAAAGGATTCAGTGCGGCGCTTAGTACAGCGAAAAAAAAATCAGGTTTGGTGCGGCGTTAGTATTCAACAGCGGCACTTATTCGAAAGCGGGGCTTATCGGAGCATTTACCTTAAGCCCAATTCCAATGTCGTTTTGCGTCAGGAGAAATAATACGAAATGATGTTTTTGCCCTACCCACTCGAATCACTTGCGAGATTTTAGCGAGACTAAGAATGGGTCATAATAATAAAAGCTTGGACTGGGGAGCAAGCCTTTTTTGGGGTGCGTGTGCTAACAACGCGACCCCTAGATACGCCACTGTATAAGTGTTTTACGTTCGCCTAACTACAATTGAAGGCTTTGTTATTCCTTTCTTCGACGCTTATGAAAAAAAACCATAAAAAAATCTCGTTGCACTTGCATCTGAGTTCAGCAATTGGGCGGAGCTAAGAATGTTGGAGCACATTGGTTCGACCATGGAGGAACTAATTCCTCCATGGTTCGACACGTCGACGAAGGGATCTGCTAATCACTGATCTCTCATTAATAACTCCATGCTATTAATAATAATAATAATAAATGGATTTATTAAGTATTTCTCTGTACTTCCATTGAAGGCTGATACATTCTCTGTTACAATAATATATGCGATTCCAATACTCACTGAAATTAACCATTAATTGCTGTCTGCAATAAGTAACATAAATAAAAAACAAAATTATAGACCTAATTAATTACGATGAAGTATTTATCCACATACTGCACGTAATGCAGTGATGTTTTTATTAGTGAAAACTCGGCGGTTTCTAAAATCCGTTCGTTGTCTTGACAACATACCTCGCTGTTGCTAGGTGCACATGATGTTCATCACTTAATTATATTAATCATATTTTAAGATTTTATGCAGTATGCAATATCATTGGATGTTTTTAAGAAAAAATAGAAATACTAATTTTTAAATACCAAATTCGCACAAGACACTGTCATTGCAGAATCAACTTTGCAAGAGCTTGAAGCAATAGCGATAGGGCTAAATTTTTAATACTTATAACTTGTGTTGGAAGTTGTTTGTCAATTTATTCAAAATGCTTCGACAACTTATGATATCTTTGCTGATTTCGGCTGTATCAGGTAAGATACAATAATTCAACCGTGATACATAATATTTCTCTTTCGTAAGTGATCTTTATTTTGGCCCCGTAACCCACACTAAAAAATAACCGGAATGCTGTTCGAGGAGAGATACTGTAGTTTTTACTTTTTACATTTACTACGTTAGTTACTGTGTAGTCAACTGCTCTCATGCATTTCTGGGGGTGTGGTGGGGCTGAGGCGAATATATACTATTGTATTTTAACAAAAAAATATTTGATGCATTAGGATTGAACGTCAGCTTTAAACTCTGTCCACGCTATAATTTTTTTTTCGACTAGAAAATGGTTGTATTGCCATATTAAAGTAATGATGTTCCTGTATATGGCCATGATGTGAATATGTCATCATGAACATATTTAGAGGCATGCTTTTGTCAAAAAAAAAAAATAAATGTTGATACGGTAGTCTACTGGATAGGGCTTTTATGTAAAATTAAGACACTTGGAAAAACATGTTATTTTTAATGGGTTTTTTTTTCAATTTCCACAACCGTATTTCTTTCTTTCAACTCAGCTGAAATTATGGTGGGGATGAGGTTGATTGGAATTCGATTTCATATACCGCAAATTTTATTATTGAAACTGGTCCTGATTTGATCTCTTTGGAATATGCTTGTCTAATATTTGATCCCACATAGGCCTATGTATATGAAAAAAATATTAAGAAACTAGGATGTGTCCAAATTCTTGCAGTAAAGAGTGTTGATAAAAGATTATACACCATAATGATTTCTTTGTTAAATGAAATTTAAGCACAAGACCTTTGTTTTGTCTGGGATATTAATTCATCCCTATTCGCGATATTTATAACCCCTTTGTTATTAATCGTCAGTCCTTTTCAAAAAATCTTTATTCCTTTTATTTAGTGGAGATGTAGCTTGATAGTTTTAGATGTTTGCATGCCAATCCCAGGGTCCTGGGTTCAAATCCTGTGACAGAACAACTAAAAATATATCCACTATACTCGTAATGAGACTTCGCTGATAAAGCAACACATTATTTAATTTATTTAAGAAGGCACCTATATATCAACCAACCTTTCTAGGATACGCTCTATAAATGGTGAAAATAATATTAATCCGGTGTTATCTCAATTACATCAACTATTTTTTCATCCAAACTTAACCACCAACTTCTCTTAAAATATATATAGAAGAGGGTGGTAATACTGTATAATGTTGTAATTCATCTAAGTTGATAATTTACCCTTTTCTTAAATTGTTATATTTGCATTATGCCTCATTGTTTTTCTGTCTAAAATTTGATCATCTTTTATTTAGTGTAATGCTGTTCATAAGACTAAAGCTTTTTTTAACTTATGTATAACAATTTCGGTCGCTGGCGGCAATCATTTTGAAATGACTGGAATGTAGAAATTAATATATCGTTTATATTATAAATTTGTAATCGTTCTTTTCTATGTTCACATAGAGAACATAGTTTAATGGAATTAGCGCAAAATAAATAGATAAATTAATTATTAAATAAATTATCTACATTATATTCCTTTTACTCTTTTAATATGAAATTTTTATCTGCAAGCCTATGAAAGTGATTTTTGTGGCCTTACATTTTGATCTAATTATTATTTTAATATAACTGTTGTCATTTCCCATTATCGTACGGTATATTGCCGTATATTAGGCTAACTGCTTCTTAATTTTTAACTACCATTGGCATATCTATATTTTCTTTTGTCGCATTTAAACGTGTTTAACTTTCTAAGCATGAACTAATGAAATTTCAATTAAGCTTAGTTTAGGGTGTAGGTATAGTTTATATGGAATTAAATCAAATAATGTCAAAATAATAGCTCTGCGCATACATACGGAGCTTCTAAGGAGACATGGTTAGAAAAAGTATTAAGTTATTTCGTTCCCTCGAAATAATATTCCGTTTCCTCGAAATGACATTTCGAGGGAACAACTAATTATTTCGAAGGAGCAAAATCATTTCAAGGGAACAAAATGATTTCGTTTCCTCGAAGTATTATTTCGTTCTCCCGAAATATTATTTCGTTCCTGCGAAATAATGTTACGTTCTATCGAAATATTATTATTTCGTTTCCTTGTGTTTGTTCACTTGTAAATATTATTTCGTTCGGTCAAAATAAATACTTCGCTCCCTCGAAATAATATTTCGTTCCCTCGAAATAATATTTTGTTGAGACGAAATATTATTTCGAGGGAATGATATATTATTGCAAGGGAACAAAAAAATGATTTCGTTTGCTTAATATTTGATTTTGCTCCATGACCAATATTGTGCCTGTATGTACTACACAGAGTAATGAAAAAAAACAAACCACTGTTTTCATCTTTGATCTAAGTTTCTTTATGGCAATACCTAGATTGAGAACAGGACTAGCCAACAGCCATAACACAGCTAGCTGACAGGAAAATACGCAAAATTTTAATACTGTTAAGTATTGCATGACAAAAATGCTAGGAAATTATATTTTGACTGAAACTTATAAATTTACTTTAGATGTACTGTAAGGAACTTAATACCTAAGGAATGCAAGTTAAAACCCACTATGCTGACACTTGCATGTGAAGGTTCAAGGGCCAAGCTCCCTTAAGAGTGGCCATCTTTTTAAAATACCATAGTGCACTCTACTAAAGTAATGTACAGTAGATAAGAATGTCAACCACAAGCACAATGCAAAAACCTGACATACCTTCATGCTTAACAGTTTGTATGGTGTGATTAATGATTGTGTAGGTAGATAGCATTAAACTTTACCACCCACTGGTACTAAGAACAGACTAGACTAAACAAAAAGACACATATTAAAAATCTATCCAATGAGCTACTGTACATAACTGATTTTATCATCTTTCTCTATTCATTAACAATATCCCAATTTAGTTAAGAGATTTCTTCTCACAGATTCTCACATGATGCTTTCTTGGTTTACAAAGAAAATTTCATAGGCATAATAATATACTGTACAGTGTTAATTGTACTGTCTTTTTTTTGCAATAAAATACTAGTAGATACTACGAAAAACCTCAATAATATCTTTCAATATTTTGCTTAGCGACAGGATCGCCTCCACATGAGTGGTGCGAGAGAAATGGATGTGACGCATAAAAACGGAGGCTCTGTATCAAATTAGTGATCAGTCGAGAATAGAAAAATTCAGTGCAAAATAAAGTGATGATGTCACAAC